CATCTAAAGACAGAAGAAAATATTTAGGAAAAACTTTGATAATCCTTTTAATGGTGGACTTTTCAAATAGAGATCTTCTGCTTTTTTCAGTAGTTTTTTAGTGGGGAGGCAGAGGAGGGGCAGTGAAGGAACCTGAAATATTTTGAATAGAGCAAGTGTCTTCTTTGACAAAGACACTGGGGTGAGAGGAGTTGTTTGCTTCCTCCTATAATGAGGAAACCTGAAATATCATAAATCTGGGGTCAGCCCAGGCCAAAGCTGGGTGGAGAAGCGGAGCAGCGGCGACACGCGCAGCCCTGTCCCCTGCCAACGGGGCACGTGAGCCAGTCATGTAGTATTAGTGGCTCCATGTTGCAGTCAGGTTGGATGCCACGTGCAGGCACATTAACATGGAAAACACATTAGCCCCCGCCGAGGAAACCTGAGCAAATTGGCCATGAGATGCAGCGTCCTGGGATTTCACACCAGTGCCATTCCCGGGACAGGACGCCACGGCAGAGCTGGGGCCCGAGGAGTGAGTTGGCTCCAGTTCAACACAGTCCCAGTCAGCCAAAGGAGCACCGGATTGGAGGAGCCCTCTGGAATGGCACAGATCCATCACCTGACGCAGCCTCCCCCGACCCCGTCCCTGGCTTGCGCCCCCGCACAGGGACCGCGGGGGGTGGCTGCGGGTACCACCGCGACCCTCCCGCACCCTGCGGGAGAGCACGTCTGTCCCGTGCCTCGGAGTCAGCTTCTGTCCCAGCACCTCATGAAATATTAACCCCAGAGCCGGAGCGTTCCTAGTCTCTCTGGGGAAAGAGGCACATTTGCAACGCTCCGAGGATGATCTCCTCTCCCGGACACCCCGTCACGCACACTTGCACCGGGCTGGCACGTGGTCCCGGGAGCGTCTCCCGCCGGGAAGGGGCACGGAGCCCCGCCGGGAGGGGACACGGAGCCCCGTCGGGCTGTCCCCTCAGCTGACCCTGCCGCGATCCCCGACGGCCGCCCCGACCCCGCTCCTGGGGCACTTCTGGGGGTGACCCCGCTCAGCCCCCTCTGCCAGACCGCGTGTGCTCCGAGCGAGGGAGCCGAGGGAGAAGCCCGCGGCAGTGTGGGCTGGAGAAGGGACCCGGGGGGAGCACAAGCCGTGGTCAGAGACTCGCAGGAGCGGGGAAGCACGCGGGGCATCGCCATACTCGCGTGAAGCCCCCGCTGCGCCGTTTAGGAACCTCGGTCTGTGCCCCAGCACCGGGACCGAGGTGTTCGGCTCTGCCCTGGGGACATGCCAGGACCGAGCCCCTCCCGGGCATCCCCTCCTAGCAGCCCAGCCCCGGCCCGATCTGGCTGCGGCAGTGGGAGCAGTGCGGAGGAAACGGGAGAGCGGCAGCACCTTGGCACATCAATAATTCATAAAATGCCAGCAGCAATGAAGGGAGAGAGGGACCGGGAGCAGAACACAATATCACACAGCTTTTTAGTGGTCTTTTTCTATTAGTGTCAGCTCTGCAGCTGGTTTCAGTGAGGAGAACTTTCCCTGGATGCCCCCAGAATTTCAGGATGGGGCCTCCTGGCCAGGGCCTGCTCCCAGTTCTGTGGTGGCTGATGCAGTTACAGGACTCTGATAATTTCAGAAGGACTCGCAGGGCACTATCCTGGCCAAGGAGCTGCAAGAGATGACACACTGCAGGCAGCCAGGCTGGACTCGGCTCTGCTGTCCCCTCTCCAGCCATCACCTCCAACGAGCCCTAGTTTGGGTGACCCCCTGCTCTGGCTGACTCAGGACACCTCCCAGACCTCCCACCTGTCTGCTGCCCTCGCCACAGCTGAGCCTGCACCTGCTTCCCTGTGTCAAGGGGAATCTGCTGACTCCACATGTACAGAGAAAATGGGATTTTTTTCATGTAAAATACAGGGAAAACCTTGGGCCAGACCGGGGAGCTCCGTGCCTGGGGCCTGCATGAACCACACTGTGCCATGCCATGCCAACAGATGGGGACATGCCCTGTTAAATTCCAACAATGCCCAGACCCACCTGCTCCCCACAACGCCTGGTTGATGCCTCCTATGGCCTTGGAATGGGCTGGCCCAGCCCCACCACTGAGCTGGGCCACGGCACTCATGGCCCCCATGGCACCCAGAGCACCCAGAGCACCCACAGCACCCACAGCACCCACAGCACCCACAGCACCCACAGCAGGAGGGTGCTTCACTCCCAATTTGAGCAGTGAACTGCCAGGCTGAGGGGGAAAGGGGGAGACTGGGGAAGCAGAGCCTCCCCCTGCTGCCGCTCTCCGACACGGGACCTGGGGGTCTCCCCGGCAGATGCTGGCACCGCAGCAGCCCAGAGGCCCTGCAGACAGCTCAGGGCAAAATTTTTAATTTGGCATCACACTTCAACATGAAATCTGAAAAAAAAATTAAAACAGGATGACAAGATGTCAGCGTCTCTGAGGTGGCACAGCCCTACTGCTGCTGCAGCTCCAGAGCAGGGGCCGGTCCCGGCAGCTCCAGGGCTGCCCCACTGTGCCAGAGGGAACCTCGGTGCTGAAACCAGCTCCTGGCACAGAGATGCAATGAGGATGGAACAGGCCACTCGCCTTGGACATGAGGAAACATGAGAATGTGGGCAGGAGCATCCAAACCACAGGATTTCAGGATTACTCCCTGTATGTCTGGCAGAGAAGTTAGATCGTGTCAGAAATAGTCTTTTAAAAACTACAGAAATCCAAACATCTGAAAAGGTTCACAGTTCAAAAACCTCCCTGGGAACACTCTCTGGAGCAGCAGCAGCAGCAGTGGCAGCAGCCCTGAGCCGGTGCCTGGCACAGCATAGCCAGCAGCTTTCCAGCCATGGAGTAAAGGCCTGGAAAGGATCGGCGAGAGGGAGAGGGGAACCAGGGCTGCAGTGGCGGCCCCAGCCACAGACTTCTCTGGAAAAGTGCCTGGATACCCCGTGTGCCCCAAAGGCGTTCCATTTGCACGATCCCATCAGCCAATCCAGCAGCCCTGGATCTGTTTGGAATTCCCCTGGGTGTGGGTTTGGACCTGCACCCTTGTCCCTGCACCCCCAGAGCCCACTCTGCTGGTAATCAGGGAGGGTGTCCAGGCAAACAGCGAGTTGAGCTATTGGAATTCTGTGTTTTAATGAAATCCAGGGAAGCGTATATCAGTCACAGTAAATTGTACTGTTGCCAAGAGCCACGTCCTTCGGCACAGGGAGCTGCCAGCAGATTCGTCGAAATGACTCCTGTTTTGCAGCTCACCATTAACTGCTCCTGAAGGAGCTGCAGTCAGAGCATTCCTGGCTGGAATGTTTTAAGAAAACAAAGGTGAGGGTGAGGGGGACTGGGGTGCAGCAGCGGTGCCAGTCTCCCTCCCCAAACCCAGGAGAGGGCCCTGCAGCTGCTCCTGCCTGCCAGCCTGACATCAATAAAACATGGAGACAAGCCTGGAAGAGGGAGATGAAAAGGGGATGAAAGATGTGTGGAAGACAGGCAGCCCCACTGTGTGGGGAGGATCTGAGCCACAGCGGCCAAAACCTGTTTCAATCTCTGCCATAGGAAAGCGCTGGTGAGGGGGTATGTGGGGGGCACACCTGGCTCCTCCTCTCCCCTGGCAGAGCGGAGTAGGTGCTGTGCCCCTCACCCCAGGGGCAGAGCCAGGAACTGATCCCCATCTCAGGGGCCATGGAACAGGGAGGGCCACAGCTCCCCAGGCTGCTGCCATCCAGGTTTGGGGCTAGGACAGGCTGGGGACATGCTGGGATGGAGCTGGGGACACACTGGGAAGGAGTGGCACATGCTGAGATGGAGCAGGACACTCTGGGATGGAGCAGGACACGCTGGGAAGGAGCGGGGCACGCTAGGATGGAGCTGAGAACACTCTAGGATGGAGTGGGACACACTGGGATGGAGCAGGATATGCTGGGATGGAGATAGGGACACACTGGGATGGAGTGGGACACACTGGGATGGAGCAGGATATGCTGGGATGGAGATAGGGACACACTGGGATGGACTGGGACACGTTTGGATGGAGCAGGATATGCTGGGATGGAGTGGTACACGCAGGCTCTGGGGGAGCCCCAGCACCCACTGACCTGCCCCAAACCTTCACAATGGCAGCAACTTCAAGCAAAACCCACGAATAAAAACCCCGAGCAGCAAACTCACAAAGTGCATGAGGGTCTCTGTGGCTCACCACCGACAAAGGGCCCCTTAGCACTCCCATTATTTTCATTATTTAATAAAAGACAGATGTTTTCATTGAGAGCCGGAGAGGAACGGGAAATGCGGGATCACAAATCCAAGCCCGTTAGAGGCGGAAGGGAGCGGCGGCCCAGCGAGGCCGGCGCAGGACCCGCGGGGGATGGAGCTGCTCCAGCCGTCCGGGCTGTTCCTTCGCCAGGACGCCGGCGGGATCCAGGCAGTGTTCGATCCGCTGCCCCCGCCCTCGGGCTCCCCGTGCGGTGCGGCCGGCGCTAACTCCGACGGGGGCCCTTCCCCGCCGCGGGGTCGCTCAGTACTCGTTGTCCCCCCCCTCCCCCCGGCACAGCGCCCCCTAGTGGACCCCCGACTCCCCGCTGCAGGCCCGCTCATTGGCTGCGAGACACTGTGACGTCACGGGGCGGGACGTCCCCTCATGTTCGTCTCCTCTGGCCGGGCGCGCGCCACCGCCCCGGGCGCTGATTGGCTCGCGCCGTCCCGCCCGCTGATTGGGCCCCGCGCCCCGTCCCTTCTTCCCCCCCTCCCCTTTACGACCGAAAATCACTTCCGGGTTCTCCCCCACGGGGGGTCGCGGCCCACGTGACGCCACCGTCCGCGAGCGGCGCGCGCCGCCCGCGCGCAGCCAATGAGGGCGCGCCCGGCTCCCCCCATTCAAAGCCGGCGGGCGCGGCGGCCAATCGCGGGGCGCGCCCGCCCCCGCGCGCGCTGACGGGCGTGCTGTGCGGCCAATGGGACGCGTCGGGGGCCGCGCGCGGGGGCGGGGCGGGTGCGCGCGGCGGCGGCGGCGGCCATGGCGGAGCGGGGCGGCGGCGGCGGAGACGGGGAGGCGGCGGCGGCGGCCGGGGAGCGCTTCGGCACCGACCTGCGGTACCGCGGGGTCGCGGGGCGGGCCGCACCGGGCCCGGGCGGAGTGGGGATGGGGTTGGGACGCGCAGGGGCCGGCGGGAGCGCTCCCGCCTCCATTTCCCAGCCCCGCGTGCTGCGGGACGGGCCCTGTCCCTGGTCCGCGGGCCGGGGCCGCCCCCGGGCGCGGGTGCCGCGGGGACTCCTCCCAGTGCGGACAGACCATGTGTGTCGCCGGTCACCGTCTCGTAGCCCGTGTTGTTCCCGGTCCCGGGGCATGCCCGTACTGCTTTCGCGCAGTAGGAGAGCTCCGGCGGGGCAGCGCTGGCCGGTCCCTGAGATGACGGTGTTTCCTGTCTCGGGTGCTCAGGGGCCGGGCCCTGCCGCGGGTCCCGTCCGCGGGGCACACGGGAGCCCTTGGAGCGGCAGAAGCGACCCCGCCCCGGGCACGGCCGGAGGGCCCCGGGACGGACCAGAGCAGCAGGGCGTGTTGAAGGAGCTCTGGCAGGTCGGGATGCGCTTCCCAGCACCTGACCGCCCCTTCCCACCTCTGGGTATCGATTCCCACGAGTAGAAACTGACATTTGGGGACTAATAACCTTGAATTGCGAAGGAGAGGAACCTCTTAAAGTAGTTGCAAGCTTAGCTTTACCCGCTCAAACTTGGCGGTTTTTTCACACCGATTTTTGTGTCTCTCGGTGTTTATCGCTGTTCACGGTCTCCACTGGTTTTTCCGCAGCCCAGCAGCGATCGGCAGTGACCCGTGTTCCCTGTATCCCTCTCTGTCTCTCCCCAGGATGGCTCAGCAGCAGGCGCTGCGGTTCCGCGGCCCCGCGCCCCCGCCCAGCGCGGTGCTGCGGGGCCCCCCGCCCCTCCTGCGGCCGCCCCCCCCCTTCGGGATGATGCGGGGACCCCCTCCGCCCCCCCGGCCCCCCTTCGGCCGCCCCCCCTTCGACCCCAGCATGCCCCCGATGCCGCCCCCGGGGGGGATCCCCCCGCCCATGGGGCCTCCGCATCTACAGGTAAGGAACGGGGGTTCTCTCGGATGGGTTAAGTGGGATTTGGGGATTATTCCTGTTTGTCTTCACACGTGGAAATGTCCAGTTCTGGGCCGCTCAGTTCAGGAAGGACATTGAGGGACTGAAGTGTATCCAGAGAAGGGAATAGAACTGGGGAAGGGTCTGTAGCACCAGGAGCATCTGAGGGAGCTGGGGGGGCTCATCCTGGAGAAAAGGAGACTCAGGGGGGACCTTCTCGCTCTCTCCAACCCCCTGACAGGAGGGAGGAGCCAGGTGGGGGTTGGGCTCTGGTCCCAGGGAACAAGGGACAGGACAAGAGGAAATGGCCTCAAGTTGTGCCAGGGAAATTCAGGTTGGACATCAGGAAGAATTTCTTCATGGAAAGGGCTGTCAGACATTGGAAAGGGCTGCCCAGGGAGGTGGTGGAGTCACTGTCCCTGGAGGTGTTCAGGGAACAACAGGACGTGGCACGCAGTGCTCTGGTCTGGGTGATAAGGTGGGGATTGGTCACAGGTTGGACTCGATGATCTTGGAGCTCTTTTCCAACCTCAGTGATTGTGTGTTTCTGTGCCAATTGTACAAAAAGGGACATTAAAATGGGTATGGAAACAGCGGGGCAGGACAGAGCACAAGGCTCAGATGTGGTGTTATTTACCACTGCATACCTGTGGTATGCAAATGAGCTGCTGCACAACTCCTCGAGGCAAGAGGCGATGCTAAACCGATGGATGGTTTAAGGTCTTTTGTCTACTTTTCAGAGACCTGGACATTTTGGAAGGGACAAGACCTTTGTGAGTGAAAAATGGATTATTTTAATTGCCTTGTGGGGTGCAGTGCTGTTGTTTATTTGCCTTGTGGGGGTGCGGTGCCATTAGGGCAGTGTAAGTGCTCTGTGGGCTGAGGAGCTCAATGCTACCACATGCTGTAAATAATGGATTAAATCCACTACTTGTAATTGCAGTTTGAAGAACCAGCCAGAGATACTTTGGATCCCAGGCCCGGCTGCTGGTATCTCTGGGATTTCTGTGTTTGATTTACATCCTGAGGGTGCTGCTGCTCCCGGTGTCACACGGGGCTGGTTGGTTGTGCCAGGCTGGGAGCTCCACAGCTCCTCACCAGTGCCAGGCACAGCTGGGTATCTCAGGCTGTGCCAGCACCATGCTCTGCTCCGCACTGAGGTGAGGGGTTCATGGTGGGAGTGGGGAAGCTGTGCTCGGAGCAGGGCTCAGGACGTGCTGAGGCCCTGGCTATGCACCAGGCACCAACTGCCCTCATGGTGTGACTCCTGCTTTGGGGAAAGCAGCAGCAGTAGGTGAAAAGTGAGCTTCACTGTATCCTTCACACAGGTTGTAGAGCAGGAAAGCTCATTGTGTGGCAGGTGCAGGAGATGGGGGGAGGAACAAGGGAGGAGAAGGCAGGCTGGAGTTGCCTTGAGGGGTTCATGTATTTGTACAGAAGGCTGTCCATGCACTCTTGGCTTCCTTTATAGTAGTGTTTAACACAAATAACTGTTTCTGGTTTGGTACATGGATTTAAAGAGCAGTTTAAAATACCGCTCTTGGAGCAGAAAGTTGGATCTCGGGGAAGCTTCCAACAAAAGCCAAATGCAGACAGAAGCCGAGGACATGGCAGCACTGGCAGCTGCCAGGGGCACAGCTCCAGTTCTGGGTGTAGGGGTGCAGCTCAGGGCCTGTGTGTGCAGCTTGGCACTGAGCCACCCCCTCCCTGTGCCACGGGATGTCCTGGGCTGGCCTGGCCCCAGCAGAGCCCTCGGGGTGTCAGGTGAGCATTCAGCTCGAGGCTGTCACTGGAGAGCAAAGCTTCTGAATCACAGCTTCATTTCAAGCTGGAGTGATAGAGGTAATTAGGGCTGTAGTTGTAGGTGTTTGCAGAGTAAGTTAAAAGAGCTCAGTGAATTTTGTCAACTGTCTTTTTATAGGGAAGTGTTTGTTGTACTTGTGCACGGGGAATTTCAAACAGCACAAATGAACAAGTAGAATAAAAGAACTGAATGTACTTTGAATTACAGACAGGTGTTGAGGCTTTCAGGTAACTGTGGAATGCAGGGCAGGTTGGGATTTCTAATCATGAGGCAATAATGAACATGTAATTACATCTTTTTACTTTTAATTGGCACTAGTTAGAAATTTAGTTAATGGGAAATTGAGGAAAATAGTGGATTGTAATGAAACCCACTGCTCAGCTGTGCTATCAAATTGGGCCCTTACTTATAATTTAATTTTTTTTTAACATTTCTTCCCTGGGAGGGTCACTGGGTAACTGTTCAGTGGGGTATTTGGGTCACAGGTGGGGATGTCTGAGCAGCAGCTATTTGGGAACAGCTCTTCCATTCTTTTTCTTCCTTGCATTAAGATATTTTGTCCTTTTCAGGAGAGGACTTTTCTTTCACCACACTTCTCTTCATGTCACCATTTTCAGATGCATTGGTGCTTGCATCTCAGAAGTGAAGTGCTGGCAGCTGTTCTGCTATAGATGGGGTTGGCAGGAGGCACATTCCCTGAGCTGGGAGCACTGGATTGTTAGAGAAGCTCCCAAGCCTGGCAGAGTTATCCTTACTGCCAGTGTACTGTCTGTTGATGCTCTAAGAAAGGAAAACTGCTTGGAAATTATATTGTTGTTGTTGTCATTGTGATCATTATTGTTATTATATGCCTTTAGAGACCACCATTTATGCCTCCTCCCATGGGTAGCATGCCACCACCTCCTGGTATGATGTTCCCTCCAGGAATGCCGCCGGTCTCCGCGCCGGGAACACCAGCGATGCCCCCAGCTGAGGAGATCTGGGTAGAAAACAAAACTCCCGACGGGAAGGTGAGATGGGTGCCGGGGTGGTCCCGCTGTGAGCCCCTGGCCACGCAGTTGGGCGCTGAAGCCACGCTCCTGGCTCCCCCCGTTCCTTGCTATAAAACTGGAGGAGCTGGGCCGCGTGTGGCCGAGCCGTGGTGACGGGGCCGCTCTCCCCTCAGGTGTATTTCTACAACGCGCGGACGCGCGAGTCGGCCTGGACGAAGCCGGACGGGGTGAAGGTGATCCAGCAGTCGGAGCTGACGCCGATGCTGGCGGCCCAAGCACAGGCCCAGGCCGTGGGGGCCTCCACCCCCACCACCAGCAGCCCTGCGTCCGCAGCTTCACCATCCACCTCCTCCAGCACACAGTCCTCCACCACCTCCACCACCACCACGGCCACCTCAGTGTCCCAGACCAACTCCAGTGAGTACCCGGGGGTGTCCCGGACCTCGCGATGGGGGAGCAGGTGGTGGGGGTGCTGCATGGGGAATGGCAGCAAAAACTTGGTGTCCAGGAAGGTTGTTTCAGCATGAAGTGGAGTGTGAATTTAATGTACAGTGTTTAATCCAGAAGGACCTTGCATGCAAACCTTTTTTCCCCCCCAGTCTCAAAGAGTTCTTCAGGTCTTTGTATATTTTTCTCCTGCTGTTATCACATCATCTCAGAGCTATTACGCATCTATTTCCTTTTGACTTTAGATAGAGCTGAACTGTTTTTAAAGGTGTTTCAAAAGAAAAGTTGGCCTGAGGTAGGAGTTTAGTTGTAGCAGTTTCCTGGTGGTTTTCTCCATGGCATGTGTTGCTGTAGGATGTTGGGTTTCTGAGAGCTGCTGGGCTGTGAGTATTGGTTGATTGCAGAATAGAGCTACTTTGGTGTGTTACTTTTATTAGTATTATTCTTCTGCCTAAGCCTCCTCAGTTCCTATTTTCTAGAGTTGCACAAAGAGGAAAAAGAAAGTCCTTAGAGCCATTATTGTTCACTCATGATGTTTTAATAGTCTGGGGATTAGTGCTGCTTCTATGGGCTGAACCTTTGCTTGTAAGGGTTTCCCAACTGAGGGAAGGGGGCTGAATTTACACAGCAAGCACATAATGCATGACTGTGCACCAGCAGTGTGGTTGGCACTGCACTTTGTCCCGTGTGTGCTACCCAGGAGCCTCAGGTGCATCTTGACAGAGAGGTGTGTTATGTACTATGGGTCTGTTTGCATGTGAGTCTGTCAGCAGCAAACTGAGTGAGGTCACTCCTCATGTCCAGAGCGAGGTGTGCTGGGGAGGGAGCAGATCACAGAGCATCCTGTCTGCATGACAGACAGACAGCACTGGTGATGAGCAGGTATCCAGCACTGGGACAGCCTTGGGTGTTGTAGCTGCTCTGGCTCTGATCTGTTCACTGAGCCAGGCCAGAGAGTGTGCAGGAGATGAACTGTTCTAACTCCAGCTGGGGGTAGAGTTGCAGCCTCTGGAATTGGTCTTTTTCCTGTAACAGGGGAGACAAATGAAGCTTAACTCGCCATTTAGCCCAAACTTCAGAATCTGTGTATGAAAAGGAGTCAAATTTGTGTGACCCTCAGATTCTGTTTTCGTTGAGGCTGTGGGAGGACACATCATTAGAGCAACAAAGACTTGTGTTGCTCAAAGCATCTTAGGGCTTTTGTGTGTTTTGAAAGGTAACTAAGTACTGTGTTCAGCAGCTTTGTTGAGCTATGATCTGCTCTAACCTAAGGGTTGTGCCGAGTAACCTGTAGGAGATGAATCTTAGCTCCTGATGCAATGCCAGGCTTGGGAGAGCTGATCCTGCTTTGGTGACAGCACTTTACACACCTTCTCTGAACTTAAATTTCCTAATATCGAACGCTGAGAATCTCTTTCACTTCTGCCTGTTCTATCTGCTAAACTTTGTCTTTGCTTTCAAGAACTGTTACTGTTGGTGTCTGTGCCTAGGTGATGAAATTCTATAATTGAAAATAATTTTATAACTCTCAGAATGTAAAAAATACTGGGACTTCTGGCTGAGCTTCATTCTTGCCTGGTACTGATTTGACTTAAGTTTTACAAATCAAATACTGACTGTCTGCTCTGTTTCCCTAAATGTTAGGCACTGCTAAGAACTTTCACCCTTTCTGAAGTGCTTAACAAAAGATCAGAAATCTTTGTTTAAATATGCTAATACTGTTATGTTATTTGGAATGTTTCTGGTAGTGTTAAAAAAATGCATGGTGTGCCCATTGGAATATGGCCATAAATTGGTGTGGTTTCTTTTTTTTTTTTTTCTTTTCCCTCCTTCCCTGCACCAAATCTTGCAGAGTGAATTTGAAGTTTAAGCAGACTTGTCTGTAATTCCTGTTGGCCCGTGCTGTGAGGTTGTTTGCTCCCAGTTAAGGGCTGGTTTCAGTCATGCTGCAGGGATGATGGAACTAAATGCCAGTCGTGTGTTTTCCCACTGGGAGGCACTGAAGACCAAGAAAGTTCTTGCAGCTGCTGAACAAAAGTACTTTCCTTTTCCTTACTTATTTACACATTTTTATTGATATTTCCCTGTTCTGGGAATGCAGCCCGGCATAGTTTTAGGCAGACTGCTGTCATGCAGATGCTGCTGTTAAAAGCAGAAACTGTGTTCACGTAACACAAGGACAGTCTGTTGCTATGGGAAACTCTCTGTAACCTTCCCTTTCTGTTTCTCTGAACAGGGATACAGAGTAGAACCTCATTTCAGGCTGTATTTGTCCTTTGCTACTGCTGTAGAAACTTGTTAGGTGCAAAGAATGGGACAAAGTGAAATTGGAAATTGACTTTCTATGTGAATATTTAATGTTCCAGAGAAGGCAAAGTATTTTTTGTCCAGGAGTGTCTTCCTGCTGGTTATATCCGAGCATATCTCTTATGTACCGGGAAACAGAGCGCCAGTATGTTTGCAGCAATATATTGCAGTGTCTAAGATACAAGGTGTTCTTTTGTGTTTTTTTATCAGCACCTACCACACAAGACCAGACCCCGAGTTCGGGTGTTTCAGTTGCCACACCATCAGTCAGTGTTTCAACCTCTGCTCCTTCTGCTACACCTGTGCAGACTGTACCCCAGCCAGTCCCACAGACATTGCCTCCTGCAGTTCCTCATGCAGTACCTCAACCAACTGCAGCAATTCCTGCTTTTCCACCAGTAATGGTACCTCCATTTCGTGTCCCCCTTCCTGGCATGCCTATTCCACTTCCAGGTAAATTGGCAAACTGTAATTGTCTTGTCTGCTACATGTCCATGTTGTCAGTTGTTTGCACTCATGTGTCCACTGTGTACAGAACTTGCCTGGATCCTCTCCTCAGAGTATTTCTGAAAGAATTCAGGGTTAGCAGACAGACTTTTTAATTAACAAAGAACATAAAATTTTTTGACTTCTAGTTCTTTGCTATACTTAGCAAAAAACAGCTGCATTTAAACATATAATGTTTAAATGAGAATATTGAGCGCTATATTTTACTAATTGCGATATTGCTATGATTTTTTTCACTTGCTTGATTTAGACCTTAAGTCATAAATATTTACTAGGACATGGATGAGCAGGAACAATTACCATGGAAATCATGACCCAGTGATGTCAGGTGTTCCCAGTTCTCTCAGGCTGCAGCCATCAGGTACAATGCTGAGTGTTGAGGTGTGACCTGAGGACCATGATAAGGCATTCAGGGTGCCAGGATGTTATTCACAGGCTTTAGGTTTAAAGACCACTGAGAATGAATCTTAGGTGGCAGCACAGTGCTTCTGGGTAAATCAGTTTCCTAAGTTTTTATGAAATATTTAGATACCTAAGGAAGGAATTTTAGGCTGGGAAATTGTTGGGCTCACTTGCTCTCTGTAGTTGCTGCAGGAGGTCACTAATGCCACTTAGTGCTTACTCACCACGTTTCATTTGCATGGATACAGTTGAGTTCCTGTTCTAGTACAAAATTGATGTGTTTCAGTGCACAGTAGCACTAAACATACACCACGAGCTGTCGATTTCGTGTTGCAAAGGAAGGTTGGAGACTGCAGTTGTATTGGATCCAAGTTAGTTTCTGATTAAGAATGACAAAGAATCATCACTGCGTTTCTAACTCTTGTACAAGCTGAGGGAGGTGACCTCCCTGCTGTCCTCCTAGCACAGCCACCCAGTGCAGCTGGAGGGAGGCCTTTACCTTCCATTGAATTGGGTGGATGTAAAGTAACCCTTCAGAACACTCCTTTGCTAAGGGAAGTAAGCCTGAAAACAGTTAAAATGCTGACTAGAAGAGAGCACCAGCTTTTAGCTGCCTCTGCTTTTAGAACAGTCTTTTAAAATAACTGAGCAAAGCTACCTTAATCTGTATTGGCCTGAAAAGGAAATTGCAGTGTAGGACTCATTTTAAGACTGGAAACAAATGGAACATGATATTCAAGGCTGAACAAGAAATGGATAAAGAATAGAGGGAGAAGTCCTACATATTTGTGAGGTTTGGAGGAACAGTAAAGTGGGTTAAGCCTTAAAGGTGGTCGGCTGAACGTGCTGAACTGTGAATTCTGATTCCTTGCTGGCAAGGTCAGCATGGAGTGAGGGCTCCTTACACAGCTGTGAGGGATATAATCTATGCAAGTGTGACCTGTCGGGTAAAGTGGGGATGGTCAGAGCAGTGGAGAAGAGTGCCAGTGGAGGTGGAGACACTGGGTATGTGCCTGGGTTGGGCTTTTTTGTAAGCTGTCAGTCAAAAAGTTTTGGGAGTAGTGCAGTACAGGAGCAAAGGCAGAGCAGGAACATCGATCTCCTCCTGAAACTCATTTTTGAAAATTACTTTGTTTAGAACTTCCCTGGTAACAAGTGTGGGCTCTGACCAATTCTCCCAGTGAGCTGGGCTCAGGTGGAACCCACAGCATGTAGGAAGAACACCTGACAACAAAGTGCTGCTTCCACTAGTGGGTCTGATTTGTCAGTTCACCTGATTACAGAGTGAAGTCTGTCCACTTTCAGCTAATTCTGACTTGAGTTGGTTGTGAGGGTTTATAAACACTGTAAAAGAGAAGGAAACCTTTAAAAGCTTTTACATTAACAAGAAACAGAAGAGAAATCAAAATTACTTTGTGGTGGTATTGAGTGAAGTCAGAAGGGCTTCTGAAGGTTAGACTGTAGATGTTTGGAATGTTCAGCACTAGGTGTGGTGTCAGCCAGAGGATTTGAAGTTAGAGGGGCAGAGGTGAACAGTGCCACTGTCTAGTCCTTTCAAAGTTAATCTCTGTTACACTGCAGTAAGATGGAGCAAGATCTTAAAAAGTAAGTCTGCTTTCTCTCAATTCCTATGTTCTAAGTCAGTTTTATGTTTGGGAATGACCTCGGCAGAGGAAACAGCTTGGGTGTTTGCTCAGTCTTACCTGTGCTGCAGCATCCCTAACTCCAGCACCCTGCAGATAGTGGTGTTTATACTGACCCACGTTGGAGACATGCTGTAACTTCCTTAACAAAACGAATTTGCAGATCCACTGTCAAGTACACAACATGACCACCCCCCTGATTTAGATGAACACTTCAGTCAGTGCTGTTTGAGTCAATGTTTTTATGTCTCAATTTATAAGTTTTTAATAAAACTAGTTTGGGATTCTCTCATTGAAATTATTACTACAGAACATTACAATTCTAATCCTGTCTTTTTAAATAAATTGACAGTATTTGTGTATGCTTTCCACACTATATCTGTAATGAACAAACCCAGAAATTACTTTGGTTATAAACACAGGGGTTTAATTTCACTTTCCACTGGAGCATTTCCACCTCAATGATGAATTGAAACCCTTGAAGAGAAAGTTTCTGGAGTATTTCAGTTTCTGAGCATCCAGACTGAACCAGACAGAGAGAATTTCTATAGTTGCCTTCCGCACCTAAAATGGAGGTTTTGGAAATGCATTCCCCTTATCCCTGTCTAATTTCCCGCTGAATTTTGGTCTGATCAAAGAGGACAAGCTGCTTTTTCTCCTTGTGCCTTTCTGTGTCACTTCTTACTGAGCTGGAGAGCAGACCAGTGCATGGTGCCACCTTTCTGAGGGCGAGTTATGGCTTTTAAAATATTTTGCAGCTTGTGCCATTCTTGATAATCAAAAATAAAGAAAATTTGGGCTGCCCCTGTGCTAGTGCAGCTTTGTGTACCTCTGTCTGCAGCTTCATTGCTTTTTACCCCCTTTCTTCCACCTGCAGCCTTTCTGTAATGACCCTTGTACCCTCAGCTTTCCCTCTGGGTTGCACTTGGCTGTCACCCCGTCTCGCTGCTCTGAGTAGTTCAGATCTGTCCTTCCAGCCTTACCCTGCTCTCTAAGTGCAGCAGCAGACTGAGGACAGCAAAGCCTGTGAGTTTCACTGTGCTGCTGCTCCCCATGGGTCTGTCCCAGCAGAGGCTGCCTGTGGAAGCAGCCCCAGTAATGGGATATTTTCCCGTGGTGCTGCCCTACAAGGAGAGCTGCATTCCCCCTCGGATGAACTTAAACCCCTGAATCTTCGCTGAAATACCTTTTTTCTTTTTAATGACATCCCAATAACTTGCTAAACAGCTGGTTTAACGTAGACAGAGACCGTTGCTGCAGCTTAAAATTAGGTTTTTATTTGATCCGGCGTAAAATGTTGGAGCAAAAGTAATTCACATTTTCTTGCTGGGAGGCTCCCTCTCTGCCAGCTGCAAATGGCATTCTAAATTGTGGCAGGAAGTCCGTAGCACCCCGTGGTAGCTGACATCCCATGGCAGCTTTCCAACATGCTTCCTATCCGTTTTGCAGGTGTAGCAATGATGCAAATAGTCAGCTGCCCGTATGTAAAGACAGTCGCTACCACCAAGACCGGTAATTTCCAAACCCATCCTAGTTCGTTTTGTCTGTAAGTTGGCATGGTAGTGAATGTGGTTGTTTCTTTTATTTCTTTATTTGCTTCCCCACTTGAATGACTATATATTACTTTATTTTCAAAACCAGTATAAATGCAAATATCATATTTGGCCAGGAAATAACTTCCCAAATAACTGTTAGTGTCAGCTTATTCTGTACCCAGACTCCCATACAGTTTTCTGTAACCATTGAGTTCTGTAATGACTGTGACTCTCATGCCCATACTTAGTTCCTAGTTTCTTGTGTGGATTTTTGTTTTCCTGCTCCACATGTGCAGTGGCTGGCTGTGCTCGCATGTTGTGTGCGTGTCTGTGCGTCTGAGTGTGAACTTCCATATTTCAATTGTGGATTTAAGAACAGTCACTCACTGAGAACACGTTATTGCAATGTGTAATGTGTGCTTTTCCATTATTTAAAACAAGACTTTTTCAATGTCAAAGGCTCAAATTTATGATATTGTAGTTCCAGTCCTATCCAATTGGTTCTTCTAGAACTTGTCGTTCCAAATCTGTTCATTATACCCAGTTTGTTGGGATGAGTGGAGAGATAATAGGATAGTGCAGCATTCTGGCTTTCTTATCTTTGGATATTTGCTTGCCATTTTACTTTAGGATTTCAATAAAGTGGGTTTTTTTCAATCAGTTTGCAGTACTAAACAAACCCAACAATCTGATACTATTTCATTCTCATCAGGTTTTATTGAAGGCTCTGAATTAATGTCAGTATTTAAGATTTATCAGAGTTTTACTCTTTATTCTATAGCTCAAATTCAAGCCACTGTTGCCTTTTTTTAAGAGCAATAGGACTATCTCTTACAGTGATAGCATAATTAAGAAGTGGAGTAGATTTAAAAAATAATTATTTGCTACAGAGATCTCGTAAAGGCTTTTTTAATAAATAGAGCACTTAATTTTGAAATATAAAAGCAAATGTCTGAAAGCTAACAAGCTTTGTGCTCTGCAGAATTACACATTAATTAAAATTAAGAACCATCTAATTTGCCTGGGAATGGGCATTACTGATTGCAAAACACAGGAAGGAAATTTGGTGACAATGCCTTGCTTTTCCAATTTAACTTTGAAAACCAATCTCTGTCTATTTCTATGGGTTAAGGTGGTAAGTTAGGTCCTGCTTTGTCACTTACTGGTTTCTTTTTCCTTTTCTCCCTCTTTCCCTTTGCCCAGGAGTCCTGCCTGGCATGGCCCCCCCCATCGTGCCCATGATCCACCCGCAGGTGGCCATCGCCGCCTCCCCCGCCACGCTGGCGGGAGCCACCGCGGTGTCCGAGTGGACGGAGTACAAAACAGCAGATGGAAAGACTTACTACTACAACAACAGGACTTTGGAGTCCACATGGGAAAAACCCCAAGAACTGAAAGAAAAAGGTACTTTTGGTTTGGTTGTTTTTTTTTTTTTTTACTACGGCAGCGTACTGGGAACATCACTCGGACCTTTAGTGATTGTGTTTGAAAACGCGAGCGGGAATGTTTCTGATCCCTGATCTCCCTTAAGAATGTTTTTAAGTTCTGATTGTAAGTATCCACGTGAGTTGGTCTTGAGTCTGAATGTTGCAGTTTGTTTCCCACTGTACTGTCAGAGTGTTTGGTTCTAGAGTTGCCCTCAAATCCTGTGCCTTGGGTAAATGCGTGTTCCTGTGCCAGTAGAAAGTGAGTGCTTCATGTACACGTGTGTTTGAGAAGGTTCCAGTTGCAGATAGAAAGGGAGGAGAAAAGTCAGTTATTCCAAGGGCTGTAAACCAGGAAAAAATGAAGATCGTTGGGCTGAATTTCAGATCTTCAAGAACATATAAACAGATTTGGAATATGAAGTAAAATAATATCATCTCCCCCTGTCCACATCCCTACATTGTGTTCCACTCATCTTCTGTGACATGTGTTCACTTAAACGCACTTTAGATCTATGGGGGGTGTCATATGGGGGGGAAATTTTTCTTGTATCATAAATAAGAAGGAAGGGACAAAAATCCTGTGGCTTTTATTCAGTTTATAAAGTCTTTTAAGAACACAGATCCGAATAGTTCTGTCTTTTATTTTCTCCTGAATTTTTAGTTGCAAGAAATCTTTGCTTAGGCAAATGCAGGACACTTACACTGTTAGTTCAATTAATGCCCATCTTCTTAATAATTCAGAATAAATAATAGGTCTTTTTACTGTGATGAAAACATCTAAGAGAGCAATTTTGCTGAGAAAAGATTATGCATTTTATGCTTTTTTGAACTGAGTGCAGAGCAGTCCCTGGGCGATTCTGCATTAATTGTCTCAGATCTTTCTTTTTTTTTTGTCCACAACATTTAACATCTGAAAGTGGTCTTCAGTGTTGCACTGTTAGTTGATATTTTTATTAGTGTTTCAGCATTCCTGTTGGGGTACCCCTTAGTCAGCTTTTTAGTATTTTAGCTGTCTCAGAATATTTCATTTTCCAGTGCCAAGTAGATCTTGGCACAGGAGATAACCATGACTTTATAAGCGGACACTGCAAAGCCTCAGAGGGACAGAGGGTGGTGAAAATACATTCAAAAGAAGTATTGGGTTGGTGTTGTGCTTGGAAAATTATACCAATAAAATTAAATTTGTTGTGGTTCTATAATGATTCCTTAATACTCAGGAAGAGTCTATCTTTATTTAGAAAAAATGGAAGAGAAGGTCAAAGAGCCAATTAAAGAACCCTCGGAGGAGCCTTTACCGATGGAGACAGAAGAAGAAGAGCCAAAAGAAGAACCTATAAAGGAACTGATAAAAGAGGTAAAATACCTTGAACCCAGTAGTCAGTCTGGTCAGTGATTCCCACATCCCACAGCTGTGGCTGCATCTCGGCCTAGGCAGGTTGGCAGGAGCCATGGTTAGTAATTTGAGTTCTTAAATTCTGTAGGGGATTTTGAAAGCCTTCCTTTTTGGATTCAGACCTTTCCTTTTCCTGTTATTTTTTTTACGTAAGATAAAAAGGTCATTTAAAAGAAAGGTACAGAGTATGTGAGTTAAGAAATTAGTAAGAACATGGGGCAAAAGTTAGCTCATTACATAGACGTGGTGTTCTCTCACTGATTTTAAGAGAAAATGAAACTTGTCCTGAATGTTTGAAATATTTAATAGCTTTTTCTCTGTTTCTTTACTTCATTATTTTGACCAGTTTGACACAAAGCTCACATGTTTTCCATGTGCTGCAACTGCTAAGTTTAGGCTGTTAGGAACACTTGTCCTAGAATGTGTACTGTGGTGTTTTCAGTAAACAAAAGTACCTTCTTCCTTGGAAGGTGTTTTGCTGTGCTGAACAGGATAGTTCTTGAGGGTGCTAAGGGGTGTTTGAATAAACATCAAAACTTTTATCCTGATTTCTGTGAACTTCAATGTAGTTTAGTAGGCAAAAGCACAGAATTCAGTGTCTGGGTTTTGTTGCTACTCCACCCTGTTTACTTCTGAGGTAGTTGCCAGTTTCTGTAGCAATAACCTAAGCTTATTTCTGCTGCAGAGGTTATTGCAGGTTTTCACTGCTTCAGTCTCCGTGTCTCGTTTTCAAATAAACGCATTTTAAGAATAAATGAAAATTTCTTTGTCAGAAACCACACCCTTGCCCCTGTATCCTGGCCTTCCTGGATTTCCAGGATTCATGCAGATCTAGGAAGGCATTTAAGTCAGGTTTTGCCGAAGTCAAAAGTTAAGAAAATGCTTGGAGGTTTAGGAACTGAGGTTTTGGAGTAGCAGCTGCTGTTGTAATTCCAGTGCTTCTGTTCTGGGCATGGATGAAGTGTCACTGTGAGCTGCTTGTCAGCATGGCTTCGAAATACATTTGCTTGTTTAGAACAAGTTAGTTACTGTATAGTAAATAGTTAGCCAGCTGTCATTGCCTGATCCTCTAACTTATTTTTTCCTCGAGGAGCCAAAAGAGGAAGAAATGACAGAGGAAGAGAAGGCAGCTCAGAAGGCCAAGCCGGTTGCCACCACCCCTATTCCAGGCACCCCATGGTAGGTGGCTGCTGCCGTGGGACTGACAGGGCTGGTCCTGGAGCCACCAGGAGGGCTGCTGGGGGGATTAGAATAAGTGATAGTGTGCAAAGAACCTGTACTTGGTGTGCTGCTCCCAAACAGCACCATGTTCCTCCAGCCAGCACTGCTCACATGGTGCCAGTTCTCCTGGTGCTCAGTGTTGGCTCTTGTGCCACTCGCTGCCTGCAGTCCCACTGCCAGGATTTCATATCCCAGCCCGTTCACCTGCCACTGATCCCTCCTGATCTGGTATGATATACTGGCCAAAAAAAAAAAAATCCTAGGCTTCTCTTGGCCTGTGCCTTAGGAAACAAATAGCTGCAGCTGCTGGCCAAAATAAGCTTTTTTTTTTAACTTAGCCTAGAAACTGCTCAGGTGCCTGTGTGGTGTCAGGAGGGTGACTCCTGCTGTAGTATGTGTAAATCATCTCTATGTGTTTGCATGACAAAGGTAAAAATCTTCCTGATGGGAAAGTGATATTGTTTTCATTTTTGCAATTTAGCTATCGCTGTTTTTTAATAATGCTTGGTATTTAAAACTGTCTCCCTTTAAATTGCCTCTGTGGTTCTTTTATCCCATCACATACAAAAATCTGGCAAGATCCTGAGGTTGCTTTTTCTCATAATCTGTGGGGCGTTGAAGAGATGAGGTAATTTTATCCCAAAATCTGATTCCACTCTCTAAAACATTTTTCCAGAGAAGAGCTGAGTCTCCTCTTAAAAAGCTCCTGATAAAAAAGCATTTTTAAAATTGCATTTTCAGTGTCAAATTTCAATTACTGCATTTTCAAATCTGCCAGCAGAGAAAAGGAGCAGTTCAGGGGGTCCCAGCTGGGCAGTAGGAACGTCTGGCAGTTGTGAAGTCAGTGTAACCTGGGTGTGTGGCCATTGTGCTTCAGTCTGTGAACATGGTAATGGGTACATAGTGAGTGAAGACAAGGTAATCTGAGCCCTCCTGTCCCATCCCCAGGTGTGTGGTGTGGACGGGGGATGAGCGTGTGTTCTTCTATAACCCCACCACCCGACTGTCCATGTGGGACCGACCCGACGACCTCATCGGGAGAGCTGACGTGGACAAAATCATTCAGGAACCTCCTCACAAAAAAGGAATGGAAGAAGGAAAAAAACTTAGTAAGAGCAATCTCGTTGCCATCGTAGGAAGCCTGAGTATAATTTATCACTTGTTTTGTGTTGATTTCCATAGCTTGTAACATTTAAATAAGTGACAGAAATGTAAGGACACACTGAAAATATGTGTAAATGTACATTGTAAGAGGCTGGTGGGAATGCAGATTGCAGAGTCCTCTGGGGAAAAAACAGCCCATTTGAAGAAAGTAGATGCTAACAAGGTTAATTGTTCTGTAAAATGCCAACAGGCTGAAAAACCCCACAGTTTTTACTGACTAAAAAGAGGGAATGTGTTCGTGTTATAAGCAAGAGGCCAGAAAAGATTGATCATAATGTACAAGTGGGCTCTCACAGAAGAGGAGTTAACTTAAAGACCACCAACCAGAGTAGAGTTTGGAAACAACTGCCAAGAACAGAGAACATTCAAGGAGCTGCTGAGATGAGATTTCTCTCTGGCCTGAATTCTAGTAAATGGTCCTGGGATGACATGTGGATTTGGTAGCCGGAGGAGAGCAAAGTGCAAGTGGGTAATCAGGAGTTCCAAATGTGCTTCATTAGACTGTTTAGCCTGAGTTGTTTTTCCCTGGAAATAAGAGGTCAGTGTTTGTCATTTTAAATCCCAAGCTGATCACAAGTCCACTAGTCCTGCTCCCAAATTCCCCTGGTGTAACTCCGAAAGTGACTGAGAACCACGTGTCTCCCTTTGTGAGAACATGATTGCTGCACACATTGTCCTCAGTTTGTCCACGAGCCTTCACTTGTAAATTACAAACCTTTCATCAATACAAAATCTGAAGTGTTATTGAAATCTGTTACAGTTAGAGAAGAGCACGAAGCTGCAGAGGAAGCAAACGAAGATGAGCCTATTAAAATAAAAAAGCGCAAGTAAGTTTTTGCTTTTTCAATGCCAAACAGTCTGTGTAGGTAAAATAACTGAAGTTTGTAACCTGAGATGTGTATGCTGTGTCCAGCGGAGCAGAACAGGAACTGAGAGGGTTGGGGAACACAATCATCAGCTTTCTGCTGCTCAGCAGCTCAGGTATTTGATATTTCCCTGAGATAGCTGAAACGTATGCAGAGAGGAAATAGCATGTCTTTTGGAAATAAATGGTGTAAGTTGGTGAAACCAAGGAATATTTTGAGTGCAGTTTGTCTTAAATAACTTGCTTCTGTTGTTTGTTGATTTCTGGGCACAAGACTTTGTTGCTAGAATATCCAACCACTTAGATTTTCATAGTGGTTTCTCTATTTTCACTCTGTTATAAAGGTTTAAGAATTTGGTTTAGGTCCTTTGGTCTGGTTGCCTTTTGGAAGTGATATATGTGATATACTTACACTGTTTTACGAGTGGTTTTGCTGTGTTATTTGTGGTCATGTGCTCCTGGGGACAGTCATGGAGCTGTTGGCAGTAAGGTCTGGTTGTTGTTTGGGGTGAAGGGCCTTTGCTCTTAGTGAACATAAATCAACAAACAGCTCACTTGGCCAGAAGATCGTGAGGTGTTCCCGGTCTAAACAAACTCCCTTAGTGCCTCGTGGCCCTGAAGAGGAGATCAGAAAATTAGTGCTGTTGATGTAAAATCTGCTGCACGTCTGGCAAGACCTTTGAACGCAGCCAGGGTGTTCTGATTGCTTGGAGTCATCTGTTGGCACTGAAGTTATTTGGAGTACCTTGGCTCCTGAGCTCTCAGTAGGAAAGCATTCGTATCTATGTCTGAGAATGGGTTTCATAGGCTGTAAGCCTGTTCTTCTGGAGCAATGGGTGATATCCATCCTGTCCTGGCACAGTTTGTTTTTTGACCTACAGGGCTGGCGTTGTGCTTCTCAAATTACGCTTTATGTTGGGTTTTTTTTCAGGAAAGATGATATCAAAGACATTGATTCCGAGAAGGAGGCTGCTATGGAGGCTGAGATTAAAGCTGCTCGGGAGAGAGCCATTGTCCCACTGGAGGCTCGGATGAAGCAGTTCAAGGACATGCTGCTGGAAAGAGGGGTCAGAAACCTCTGTGTGTGTGTGTGTGAGAAGGGAGAGAGGGAAGTTCAGGCAGAGGTCTCGATTCTTGGTGAATTCCAAAGCTGCAATGTTTTGGTGTAAGGAAGCAATCTCATCCTTCCTCTGATGAATGGATGCTCTTGGTACAAGGCTCCAGATTTCAAAGAAAGATACAATTACAGCAAAGTTTTGATTCCTTAGTAAGTGAAATGAAGCAAGGTCAAGACAGATTTTTTTTTTTTTTTCAATTTTTCCCCAAGTTAAGTAATTACCTAACTGGAAGTTGCCGTTGAAGATGATTAGGGCACACGAATGACATATCCTTAATGTTTTTGGAAATGTTCCTACTGAGAAAAGCAGCAACTTCCACTCTAGTCTGTGCAGTCTTATCCTTAAATGGGAGACTTTTTGCTATTATTTAACTAAATCTGGAATCTACTTGATGCCAATCAATTTTGATGGATAAATTAGGCTATTAGAATATAAATTTGATAGTAACTGAAAAATGGAAGTGGTTCCAGCTGCCTGTGGAACACAGCCTCTCAAGACTTTCTTCCAATGTACTTTTTGGTTTTAATGTCACACAGCAGTAATAATTAAGTGTGTATTATCATTTAGAAGTTTTCAGAGCTAATTAGTGTTGAAACTTTCTGTGACAGCCTCGATCATCCACTAGTGATAAAAACTCCAGGATGAGTTTGTTTCCCTGTTTTCATCAGATGTCTTGGAGTTTTCAAGCAAAACCGAACAACTTCTCATGTATGTTTGTCTTCTTTTAATTAAAGGTCTCTGCCTTTTCAACATGGGAGAAAGAGCTGCACAAGATCGTGTTTGATCCTCGGTACTTGCTGCTCAACCCGAAAGAAAGGAAACAGGTAAGAAAGTCAAATTCACTCACCATCCAGACACAACTACTGCAGATTTATCTGAATCTTCAGTCTGTTTTTGTTCCTGCAAACCTTCCAGTGTTGCAAGGAATTTCTGTCATGATTAGGGTTTGTCTGGAAACAGAAGAAGCCAGCAAGGGAAAGTGTTGATAGTTGTTTTATTTCCTGTGGTCAGAAGATCTCGTACCTTAATACAGTTAAAGCTGTACATGTAAGAGTGCTGCCAAAACCTGAATGAAATGGTGAGAGTCATCCGTATCTCTTCAAAGTATTGGCATAATGAATAATTCCAGCTATTTATTTAAGAAAAAAAGTGGTCGGGAGGAAGACTAAAGTGCGTTTTTATTGTTAAGCAAATTCTCACTTCAGCAGCTTTTCTTCGAGTGGATATAGGGAAATGGAAAGCTTTGAGAACACAGAAGTGTCTGAAACATGGGACCCAGGAAAACGTTACCTGGAATGTGTAAGGAACTTCTTCCCAGGTCTCAGATGATGTGTTAGGTACAGCACCGTGCACGTGCAGCAGCTTGGATCATTTGCACATTGGGATACAAAGAGACCCTAACCCTTCTTTCTGCCTCATCTGTGTTAGTTCTGTGGTGAGAGGAAAGGAAATAGAGAAGGAAAGAAGTGAGATTTTTCCTCCCTCTTACTTAGAGCTTCTGTGTGTCACGTTTGGGTGTCTGCTGTGGGTGACTGGTGTTTCTGTAGGTGTTTGATCAGTATGTGAAAACACGAGCAGAGGAAGAGCGCAAGGAGAAGAAAAATAAAATAATGCAGGCCAAGGAGGATTTCAAGAAAATGATGGAAGAAGCAAAGATTAATCCAAGGTAGGAGCTTCTTTGTGGTTTGTGTACATAAGCTCTACTAGAACGCAGGATGTTGGGTTGTATTGGGTTGATTAACCTTGTTCAAAATGGGCAAAGAGGAGAAAAATCATCAGATACTGTTGAAATCTTCTTTTATGTACTTATATTCACCTAATCCATGAAATAATAGAACTTGTGATTTATGATGATTTACGTATTTCTAATGATTTACATATTTATAGTGATTTACATATTTCAAGTTGAAGAAATCCGCAGCGTGCTGCCTGGATTGTGAGAAAGGCCTCAGGATCCACCACAAGTTTCTTTAATAACCCTGTTCCTTCTTCTCTGAAAAGTAGTAGGGAGGTTTCTTGGGTTTGGAGGGGGATAAAGGGATGTTTCTCTGATTACAAAATATGTTAATGATAATATGATAGAGTGTTCTGGTTGCTTTAATACAGCAATGATTACACACCCCTCCGATTCAGACCCACTGCAGTGATAAGAGCGAGGGGATGACAGTGAAAGTACATTCAAGATTTCATTTCTGGGATTGTTTATTTCACAGCTTCCTCACGTAGAGGTCATGAGTTATGTGCTTGTGTCACCAGATGAGGTCCAAAGCATCCTCTTTCAGCATCTCCTGGCTCTTCTGGCATTAATTCTTTTCCAGTGAAATAACAGCTCATTTGTTTCACTTCAGCTCAGTTTTTTCCTGTGACTCGTTTTGGAAATCTGGTGACGGTGCTATGTTAACTTTTAAATTGCTTCAGATCTGACTAATAACTCAGTAGTAGGCTGGAAGAATGAAGGCATGGAAATGCTTTAAGGAACAGTTACGTTGGCTTTAGTATCCTCAGTTTCCAGCATATCTCCAGTATGTCATGTTGGGACTGATTCTTTACCTGATTATGGGCTGGGGTGGGAAAGAGAGTTCCAGCTGAAATACTGTCTTGTTTAATCTTATCCTTTGTCTTCTGGTTTCAGTGTTTGTCTAAAGATATTGCTGTACTTCTGTGAGTGCCAGACTGGTTTTTTATCATCTATCTCAGTCCAACATGCTCAAGAGTTTGTGTTCCACTTCACTTGAGCAGCTCTTGTTCTTCAATCTAGCTGTACATTCACTTTCTAATCCTTTTGAATAAGCTACCAAATTCTCTTCTTGTTTCAATTTACCCTACAGCAACAGTAGGCTGGATTTTCCAAGTCTAATTATTTCCATGCTGTGATGAAAACATTCCTATGATTATAAGTGTCTCACGTATTCTTGGGGCCAGATTTGCATCAGAGCTTGGAAAAAGCACAGTAGTGATTTTTTTCCGAGGTAAGTGGCAGTACTGTACCTACTGCACAGGTTGGAATCTGGCCCTGGAGGTGAGAGAACGGTCAGGGAAACGCTGTGGGATGATGGGTCAAAAGCCCAGGATTGTTGCCTCTGCCCATAGTGTTTGAAGGGGTTTCAGCTCTGTGTGGTTTAAGCTCAGGCTCTGCACTGAAGGGGGAAGAATTGGTACAGCCAGTGTTCTGTGGGGACTCCTACCAAAGACTGGTTTTCCTGGTGAACTCTTAGCATGGTTTGGCTGCAAGTGAATGCACCTGAGATTTTTGGTTTCACAGCTGTGAAATACCTGGACAGACTGGTTGGTGGCTGAACTGCTAACCCACAGAAAAGAAGAGTTTTGTAGACAACTGAGTTTTTTTCATTTCTTCTCCTTGGTTGCACTGTAGTCTCTCTCTGCACCTGCCTATTCTGCAGGTGGCTGTATCTGAACAAACCAACCCACCCCTGTAAGTCTCTGACAACACCTCTCGTGTGAGTGCTGGCTCTTTTTATAGAGTTCATTGGTCAAGCAGCTCTGTAGTGAGACCATAGGATTTGCCTTTTGGGAATTTTTAAGTTGTGCTCTGGCATGTATTGCAGCAGAGGAAGTACTTCCCTGCTGAACCTGCCTCCCAGCCCAGACAGCTCTGCCAAATGAGTTCACTTGCCATTTTGTTGCAGAACTACTTTTAGTGAATTTGCAGCCAAGCATGCTAAAGACTCGAGGTTCAAGGCAATTGAAAAGATGAAAGATCGAGAGGCCTTGTTTAATGAGTTTATCACAGCGGCAAGAAAGAAGGAGAAGGAAGACTCGAAGACCAGGGGAGAGAAGGTAAGGGGACTCTTGAGTTCCAGCAGTGTGAGTGGTGTGAATGAGATGGGACAGAGCCAGTGCTTGGCTTCCCTGAGCCTTCCCTGAGACATGGGCCTGCACTTTCCTACAGGCAAACACTTCAGTGGTGTCCCCCTGGTCTTTCTGAACTATTTCAAGTTTGCAGTTTTACTGACTTTTAGAGTATCTAGAATTGAATTGTGTTTATTTGTGAAGCTGAGTTTGCTTAAATAATGACATTTTTTTAATTTACCTGAGCAAGTAACATTATCTTCTTAACCTGAGTAATGCTTGATTTTATTTTCTTTATTAAGTTCTATTATCCTGAAGCATGAAAAGGAAAAGGAGTCGTGTCCTCTTTGGCTATAACCCCAGAGCTTGCCATTACCTCTGTGCTCCCTCACTGGAGGCAGGCAGGACTTGCAATTCCCTGACGGTACCGCAGTTAAATTTCAAACAGTTCCCATATCCTTCCTTTCCATCTCAAAACAGACACTTAGGGACTTTTGTAGTAAATAGATCTTATGTGTAAACTGCTGCTGATTAGATTTAAAGGTCAGCTATTACAGATTAATGAACTCCCAGTGTCATGTGCCCGCACTGCTGCTGGTGGGGAGCAGCTCTTTCCCCTGGAGAGAGGATATCAAATGGGGTCACCAGAACCTGGGGCCACTTACTGCCACGTCCCTGTGTGTGTGTGAGTGGAGGTCACCTCTGAAGGCCAATCATTTTTGATATTTGGAAGTCTGCAATGTTTATTTTGTAGTATGAAGTTATTGCAGATTTCCCTGGAGTGCTTTTGGGAGAGAGAAGTGCTGGCGGACAGATCTGGGGACAATTTCATTCTTCAGGAAGCTTTCCATATTTCTGAAATCTCGATACTCTGATCTAATTTGGTTCTGCACTCAATTTTCACAAATGTTGCCTTATTGCTGCTGTCTTCAGTAAATGATTGTGCTTTCAGAGGGGAACTGATGTAGTTCAAAACTAGATTTTACATACTGCATTTTGATTGTGAATATGGAATTTTAAAGCATTTTTGCAGCTTAATAGTGCAGTTGAAGACTTAAAAGAATAAATATTAACTTGATTGTTGTTGCATGATTGTTCTAAAGTTGAAAAGTTAAAAGAAGAGAGATTGTATTTGTTTGCTTTGAATAATGTTTTTTTTTTCTCCAAAAGCCTTTTGTAACCATTTTATGTATTCTGTTTTATAACAAGTGGATAGACTTTACAGTTATGTGCTGTGCGGCCTGTCAATCAGTTCAGTCTGACAGCTGTCAATCACTGACACGCAAATATTATGGGATTCCCTAGTGAGGAAAGCATTGGTATCTCTGTGTGGTGACTTTAGCCTCCCGCAGTTCCGGTACTTTACATTTTTTTAGTTTTTTTCCTTGTGAAGTGATGAGAGTTGTACCTGCAATGTGTTAACTGCCAAAAAAAAAAAAAAAAAAAAAAGACTTCTAAATACACCTGAAATGTTTTCAGCCTTATTTTCCTTTGATTTTGAAAGTGCTTAAAACATAAAAGAAAATTTAAGGCATTTAACCTGAAGCTTTCTCAGTCTGTCGTAAAAGTCCAAATTCTTTATTTAGGGAGGATCAACTTTACAGAAATCTTTAACGTAAGGGTTTTAGATTATCTAATGTTTGATTTTTGCCTCATGGAGTTATGGCTTACAGGATGGGATGGTGCAGCCAGCTTTTCCAATGCCTGCTTTTATTCCTGTGCCTAATTTCAGTGAGTAAGTCTGATGCCAATGCTTCTTGGATGAGAGAGAGAGAAGGAATATGGGGGGAACTTGGGGATATCAGGAAAGGGACTGTGGGCAGATAACAATGACCAAGTTGATCCTGTACTGTCCTGGGACACGGCCTTGTTCCGTGTCCCCAGGACGAGCCATGGCAGAGGATGAGCTTGATATCCCACTTTACAGACTTACTGGAATGTTGAGCTGCAGATGCCCTGCAGCCCCGTGCTGGTGGCTGTGTCCCCTGTCACCTGCCCCATGTCCAGAGCTCTGGGTGATACTCGACTTGGTCGAGCAAGTCCCTGTGTGCAGGCACATGGAACTCACCGTCCAGAGCTGGGGTCTGAAAAGGTTATTCCTTGCTGAGATGTTTTAGACTCAATTTTTTGAGACATTTTCACCTTCTTTTTTTAAAATAGAAATGATGTGGCAACACCTGTGCTGTGCACAGGGCACCTGAGTGAAGTGTAAGCTGTGCTTTAGAGCACTGAGGCCTGAAGTGCCTGCCGTTGGTTATTCTGGGGGAGGGAGTTGGCTGTGCCCTCCTGATCCCTGTCCAGTCGGGGGCTGGAGAGGGAACAGCTGGTCCTGCTGGTGGCTGCACAACCAGGGAGGAGCTCCTGAGGGAATGAGGGAGTGAGGGGTGTTACTGGTGCCCACACAGCCAGGCAGGAACTCCTGAGGGAATGAGGGGTGCCACTGGCAGCCACACTGCTGGGCAGGAGCTCCTGGGAGACCGAGGGTTTGCTGCTGGCAGCTCCCATGGGAGCACCTCCCTGCAGCCTGTGGTGGTGGTCTCAGGTGAGGGTTTGTGTGGCTGCTCATGCCACAATGTTCCCAGCAGTGTGGCAGGCATACAGTCCTCATCCTGTGGAATACATCCATGCACAGGTGATTTGTGCAGGAGCTTGGAGATACCCTTACCTTAGAGACTTCTGTGGTAACAGCTGGGAACTATTTGGTTTCTAACAAATATTTCAAATGCCATGGCTTAGAAAGCTTCATATTTCAATACTGCATGCATGTTTTAAGATGTTTTGAAACAACATTCTTAATTTTACAATGAATAAACAGTTTGCTTAGCATTTTGTTGAGCTCCTGCAAGATAAAGCAGTAGTGCTGTAGCTGTAGCACAACATCCCACTGGCACTAATGGGCTTTTCTCTGATCTCTGCTTTACTGTCTTAGTCTCCTTTGGGATAGTAAAGAAAGAGCCTATAGAGCCTTTTATATTTATATGTTAATATTGCAAAGAACTAAAATTATTCGTGGGCAAAGCTGCAGACTATTGGTGCTGATCTTTCTTCCGTTTCTGCGTTCTGTAGCTAAACACATTTTAGGGGATGGGGATGTGCCAGGTCTCTGGCAAGCTGGAGCCTGCTCTGTCCATCTGCTCCCTTCCCTAAGGAACCTCAGTGTTCTGCAGCTAAACTGCTTCTGCTGGTTTCTGTTTTTTAAGGGATGAGGAGGGGAGATAAGGAGCAAATAACCTATGGCCAGTCCTCCCAGATTTGGGGTTTTTAATTCCTCTGCCATAAAACCAGCTTTAGTTTGCATCCCGGCAGGATGTGGGGTGCTATGGAATGCAGCAGGGTGTGGGGAGCTGTGGAGGCAGAACCCTTCTCCCTGCCTGCAGGGCCCTTGAGCATTCCCTGGCCCCTGGCGAGGTGACCCAGCCCCTCGCCTCTGCTTCCGAGGGGGGGAGGCTGAAGTGCCAAACCAGCCTGCCAGGGATACAGTGGTGACCAAGGACATAAAGTGCAGCAGGAACAGGGAGATCATCTGCCCCAGAAACCAAAATATCTAATAAAGGCACAGTAGTTGCTGTTACAATTGCTGGTTCTGGGACTTCAGATGAAAACATGTTTCTGGTTGTTTTGAAATAAAACCTGCCATGATTGATCCTCTGCCAGCCCTTGCTATGGCAGTTGTTGTGGGCAGAGTGCTGACATGCCACTTCCAATTGACAAAGTAGATTAAAATGTTTCCTTAAACTTTTATATAGATGTGCATGTCCATCCTAAATATAATTTACTTAATTCTAGATTTTACTTAATTTTAATGTGGGTAATTCTTTATTGGTTAGATCCATCTTAAGACACTGCTCTTTGTCGGCAGATCCAAGCATTCACCTCTGTTCATTGTACACCTGGAGGATGAATCCATAAATACCTGATTTCTCTAGAGCCCTGTTGCAAGCTGTATGGCTTCTGGAGTACTGATGTGCAAAATGCTATCATGCAGCATCAGTAACTTGTTAATTTGATATATATAAAAGCTCAAAACCAAACTTAAATTGGAGGAAAATAATAAAAACTCTGTTGGTGGATTGTTCTTTAAAGAAGAGAATTCATCTAAAGTGTAGCAGATCACCTTAATGTATCTGCTTTGGCAAAATTGTCCCAAGGGACAGTGAATTTGGGCTGCAGTTATGGCTAAATTCAGAGTTTTAGTGATTTCTCTAAATTGCAATGGTATGTAATGTTAATATGCTCCCTCTGATGGAGGTAAGTCGACTCCTTTTTTCATAAGAGCAAACTGTGGGATATCAAAGTGTCTTTCTCAAGCGTTGTCTTTCTGTTTCTGTCTGTACAACAGATCAAAATGGACTTCTTTGAGCTGCTGGCAAACCACCACCTGGACAGTCAGTCTCGCTGGAGCAAAGTGAAGGACAAAGTGGAGACTGACCCGCGGTACAAGGCGGTGGACAGCTCCTCACAGAGGGAGGACCTGTTCAAGCAGTACATCGAGAAAATAGCCAAGGTCAGCAGGGAGCACGGGGAGCGTGGCTGGGGGTGTGCTGTGGGGAGACTGATCCTTGCTGAACAGAAATCAGTGCAGAGTTACTGTGCTGGTACCCCAGCATGGCAGCTTGGAACTTAGGAGTTCTGTCCCTGGTGGGGTGTGCGTGGGACCTGCGTGCTCACACACAATATCTGGGAGAATTTATCCCTCAGAGACTCCTGTGAAGCCATTGGTTGGAAAATTGGCTGTAAAACTTCAGAAACTACAGACACCACATTGATTACTTCCTCCTAAGATGGGCAGCGTTTCCCTTGCCGTGATTTTTCCCTATGAGCTGAGCTTCCTTCAGGGATCTGTGTTCATACATAGTTCTTTCACTGCTGCTTCTTTCTTAGTCCAGTATTCCTACCTTTCTCTTCCAGGCAATTAATGGTTGAGTATGTAAAACTGGGCCAACAGTGATCACCCTGTCCCCCCTTATTCTGAGTTTGTTGCTGAACACAATGTGCTTCTGGGAATAGTTCTGTGACCAAGCTTGCCTCTCCCCTGTGTAAACCCTGTAATGCTACAGCACAGCTCTTGAAGCAAAATCTTGTAATCCATGGATCCCAAATCCCTTTGAAGTATTTTGTTCCAAGCTGCCTTCAGTTTGATAACCCTTTAGTTCGCTCGCCTGTCTAATGAAAGGTGTTGTGTTGTTTTTATTGAGAAAGCTTTGTTCCTGCATTTCAGAACTTAGATTCTGAGAAGGAGAAGGAGCTGGAGCGACAGGCGCGGATCGAGGCGAGCCTGCGGGAGCGAGAGCGGGAGGTGCAGAAAGCGCGCTCGGAGCAGACCAAGGAGATCGATCGGGAGCGGGAGCAGCACAAGCGGGAAGAGGCCATACAGAACTTCAAAGCGCTGCTCTCGGACATGGTGAGGCACGGACAGGCCCCTCGGCTGGTCAGGGCAGGCTTAGGTTGGTGCTCCCTGGAAAAGCCTTTTGGCATTTGGAGCTCAGCTTATACAGAGATGGAATCTCATTGAGGTTTTTAGCAGAGCTCCCGTTGTCTCTGGAAATAATAATCTCCGAGGATGCCTTTCCAAGCACTCTGCTGAAAACAGGGTGTTATGCACAGAGGAGAGAGTGCTGGAATCTCCTGGTTTTGAGAATGCTCAGCCAGGTCAGTGGGGCGTCTCCGTCTGCTTCGATGCAGAGGGATTCCTTCTGCCACTGCCTGCTCAGTGTTCGTGAGGCACCTGCTACAGTCTCCTCTTAAAAGCTGGGGGTTTATCTTTCATTTTAACCTTAACTTCAAGCAAGATAAATAATAAAAAAATAAGGGTGTAAGAATTATCAATGAACTTTAGAAAAACTGGTCTAAAAGCGAATCATCTCCGGCTCAGGTGCGCTCTTCAGACGTGTCCTGGTCTGACACCAGGAGGACCCTGCGCAAAGATCACCGCTGGGAGTCGGGGTCCCTGCTCGAGAGAGAGGAGAAAGAGAAGCTCTTTAACGAACACATCGAGGCACTTACCAAAAAGAAGAGGGAACACTTCAGGCAACTTCTGGATGAAACTTCAGCGGTAAGAGCTGCTGATGTTCAAACTGAAAATCTTTGCAGCCCATTGGGGTTTCTCTTTTTGTGTCTTTCTGTCCCACAGTCTGATTGGGTTTACTTCCAGGGCCCCTTTGCTTCAACACTCTCTTTTCTCCTTCATAACAAAATCTGTTCATTACGTTTCCTTACCTGTTTCTCTGGAGTGCCATTTTGGACACACAGTTGATTTTCATAGAAGCTTTTAATCAGTGATCTCTTCATCTTTTTAGTTCTTCAGCACTGAGTTATTTGATACTCTTCACTGTCTGGCTTCTGACTCTTTCAGATATCCAGGGTGTTTGCTTTAGTGACCATAGTATAGTCTTACTCAGTTCATCTTTTTTGATCTCCTGCTTTATCTAGTGCTGCCAAACATGAACTTTTAGCCTGCTCATGCTGTGGAATCCATCCCTGATTTTGTGCATTTGGGGGTTTAGCGAGGCTTGCTTTCTTTTAGTTCTGTGCTAACTTCAGGCAGCTTTCACTTAACCTGGAAGTTTTTACCTCATTTTTAGTGCATTAGTTAATTTAGTTTAGAGGCAGATTTTCTGAAGGTAACTTTTATCAACACATTCATATACATGAATATGTGCTAGAAAAAGACTTTGGGAAGTAAATGATATTTGGAGGACCTTGACCTGAAAAATGCCATCTCAAAATACAAAGGAAAAGCCAGTATATACAATCTGCTAGTTAAAAATACAAATGTAATAGTATGAATAAGCAAAACCCAACACTTAAATACAGCAGCAACTTTCTCAGTGGACTTGGGAGATACTTAAAGGCTTCAGTGGTAGCAGTGTTTGCATTCTGTATTCTTAGAATCTAATTTTCTTTTAATTTAACTATTTTTGTTTCTTTTGAAAGATAACTTTAACATCAACATGGAAGGAAGTGAAAAAAATCATTAAAGAAGATCCAAGGTGCATTAAATTCTCTTCGAGTGACAGGGTAAGTGGTTTGTGTTGTTCTTGCCAACTTCCAGTGTGGTGCAGGGTACAGAGAAGTGAGCTGGTGGCTGCTGCACTGGGCTGTGCTCTATGTGAATGCAGATGTTAGTAGTTACATACAATTTGTGAAAAATTAAAATGTAAAGATAAGGAAAAGTGTAATTAACATGTAATTATTGCTGGTGTTCAGTGTGTTCAGTTGCAGGAAGTGCTGGAGCTGCATTCAGTGATTTGATTTTAACTTTTATCTTCCAGAAAAAGCAAAGGGAGTTTGAGGAATACATCCGAGACAAATACATCACTGCCAAAGCTGACTTCCGGACGCTGCTCAAAGAGACCAAATTCATCACCTACAGGTGGGGACCGTGATGCCAGTGCAGGACTTGGCTTTTTTTGTGCTTTGCCATATAAAAAGCAGCAAACTGATGTCTAATTTGATAACTTAGTTGATAAACAAGTTGATGTCTAAGTTACTTAAGTCTTTCATGGTGCTTAATTAATGTGGCACAAGTGTAGGCAACGAACCTTTGTCTCCTGTGCCCAGAGCACTGCTACGTGCCTAGTCCCAACCTAATGGGACAACTTTCTAGCTCAGAAAAAGGCCAGGTCCCTGCACCCTTCCCTACCTGGCCTGTCCCTGTGCTTCCTTATGGTGGGGCAGCTTCCCTGAGCCCGAGCGGGGGGGATCCTGGTTTCTCGGACTATGCTCCAGTGATAATTCTCTCGCTTGCTTTCAGATCCAAAAAGCTGATCCAGGAGTCCGATCAGCACCTGAAGGACGTGGAGAAGATCCTGCAGAATGACAAGCGGTACCTGGTGCTGGACTGTGTGCCAGAGGAGCGGCGCAAGCTCATCGTGTCCTACGTGGATGACCTGGACCGGCGCGGGCCACCCCCGCCGCCCACCGCCTCCGAGCCCACACGGAGAACCACGAAATAGTTACGGAATGCTCCTAATCCAAGGGTGTCTGTTAAATCCAAACGCTTGCATGAGCCATCTGTCAGGTTACACACATCCATTGCCGTGAATATATTCAAACATCTGAGGAGCAGAGGCAGGAGCAGCTTTTGTGAACATAAAATGGTCTCTGGGGAGGGAAACAACAACAAAGCCCCACATTAAAGGTATTTATGAGTTAATTGGGGCATGACTGACAAATCCCAAGGTGTGGGGCTGTTTGGTGACTGCAGGTCTCGGGGCGGGGTGTGTGAGGTGTGGATGTCTGGTACCTGGGGCTTTCCTCTCAGCACTGTCATACGTGTGAGTCCCAGGCGTGATCACGTCGTGGTTTGAGCGTGTCCTACGTGTGTGCCACAAGCTGCCTCATGGTTCCTGCAGTCCCTGGCTGAGGAGGTGACATGCTCTGATAGCTTAAATTATTGATCACAGCCTGCCCTGGAAACACCGGTCCCAGTTCTCTGCTTCCACCCTTGGGAATGGAACTAAATCCGTTAAAGCCAGGGTTAGAGCTGAGCGGAGAATTGGGACTCAGAGACGAACCCAGGTTTGTTCACAGGCTGCTCTGTTCCTGCCCCCAGCCATCAATTAGCAGCAGTCAGGTTGCTCTGCCCAAGTGAAGATCTGTCTAATAACTTTTGCTCAAAGCTGGAAACACTTGGTGCATCCCAGAGGTGACCGAGCAGGCCAGGACGGTTGTATAAACACGTTTTTATTTACGATAAAGTGATCTTTACATACTCTGGATTAGACTGTGGATTCCCTCTCTGGGCAATTCTTGTAAACTATACTCCTGTTTTGAATGTTAAACTTGTGTTTCTAAAGTTTAATTTTGAAAATGTTGGGATTGTTCAGTTTATGTATTTGAACTACAATAAACCAACCCTTTTTATATATGGATTGTACAGGCCTAATCCCGATTTCTGTTGAATTTTGCTGGACTTGTGAATTTATGAGTAAAGCAAACAACTGAAGTGATACCGCCTACATTCTTGGATGTGTTTGGCAGAACAGGGCCCGTGGCACTGAGCAGTGTGGGGTCAGTGTGTGGGCAAGGGAGGTGAGCAGAATAATACTGTCCTTTAGTGCTTTCATCTGTTGCTTGAATGTGAGCTGGCAGGGCTGGCAGAGCCAAAGTTTCCTTCTGCTGCTTCTGTGTTTGATGTGGGTCTCTTCCCCTGGCCGAGGGCTGGGGAAGGAGCCCCCTTCTTCCCTGAGAAAGTGATATTTTTTTTTTTTTTTTTTTTTTTTTTTTTTTTGTCAGCAGTTGGTGTTCATGGCCAGGGGTAGGACTTGCAGGCTGAACATCAAGAGAGAAGGGTTGTTCTTTCACAAAGACTTGGAGAGCCTGGAGGGATTTGTGCTGCTGATGGTGGTACATGGGAATGGGATTTCCTCTCACTTGGTGTGGCCCGGCAGGAAGCCGTGTGTTTCTTATGGCTGTTTTAGAATATGGTTAACTCATTAAATGAATGAGATGGCTATTAATTTTAATTGATCTGGTTTATGGAGACCAGATGTTCATTAACATTTATTTATCTGCTTATTCTGTGGATAAAGCAATCACACCCACAGGCTGGACTCTGGGGCGGGGAATGCTGCTGCTGGAGGATGTGTGGGTGATGTGTGACACCACAGAGCTGGTCCCCCCTGGCAGCCCCTCAGGCAGGGTCCCTGTGTCCCCAAAGGCAGGGACAGCCTGTGGGAACCTCATTCAGAGAGAAGGTTGGGTTTAAAGGATGCTGGCAAATTTCCTAACACCATTCCTGTCACAGCCCAGCAGCTCCCCTGGCTGGCCCTGCCCTTGGGCTGCTGCTGTGGCCAAGCACTTAGAGCAGGGCAGAGGTGAAATCCAAGCAAGCTTGAGGAAGGGAAAGAAACTCTATTTTTGAAAAGCCAGACTCATTTCTGCCTTGTGGAGCAACCAGGCTCAGCAACCCAGGACATGCTGCAACCCACAGAGCAGAGCCAGGGCTGAATCTATGCTGCTTCAATTGATTAAGGTCCCATGGTTAATGTGGAGGTAAAAGAGTGTCTGAGGAACATGTCCCTGGCAGCACAGTTTGTGCCCTGCAGCTGCTAATTAAAGGCTGCTGTTTAAATTCATCAGCAGGAACAGCCCAGAATTAGGACAGGGATTGTGGGGGGAACCAGCAGCTCCTTGCAGGGCTGCGCGTACCAAGGTTTCTGCTGTTGAGTGGGGGAGGTCCAGGTGCTCCCACTCCCCATGTTCCACAGGGCCCCACGTCCCACACCCTCAGAGGGACCCAGAGAATCCCTGGGGTCTCAGGGACCCCTCAGCCATCCCTCATCAGCACAGGACTGGCAGCCACCTTCAGACCAGGGGCCCTCGGACACTGCAGAGCCACCGTCCCCGCGCGCGAGAGGCACAACAGGCAGCGACTCCACACAGACACGTTTGGGACAACTTTACTTCTGACACCGCAGCGCAGGCTTTCCTTACAGAACCAAAAAAGAGCGTTTTCTTAAAAAATGGTTCATTTACTCTCGTTATTTTATTTTATCATTTCATTTAAAAAAAAAAGTTACTCCTGAAAGCCATCCCTTGGAATAAATCCATAAGCCAGTGCACTTTGTTTTAGCCTTGGGATGGCTCCTCCGAAGGTGGTGTGCGGGGCCAGGACATCCCAGCAGCTCCGCACTCCAAGCTGGGTCCCTGGGTCCCTGCGGCTGCCCAGCTCCTGGTTTTCCAGGCAGTCCGTGCGCTCCATGGGTGTGCAGCAGTTCATCTCCCTGGTCGGGACACTCCAGGATCCTTGCAGAGAGGCTGTCCCAGAGGCACCTGGCCCTCGGCGAGCCGTGTCCCGGCCCCTCCAGGCGATGGGTGCTGGGGGTGCCCACTGCCCCCACAGGAGGGATGGCAGCAGGGTCACCCCTGCAGAGCCACTGCCAAAGTGACAGTGTTGGATTTTATATTGACTTCGTTTATTCATTTGCTTCTTGCTGCAGGAGCAGTTTTCTGATTTATGGAAAATCCAGTCGTCTTTTTTTTTTTTTAATTGAACAGTTGCTCAAGTAAAAGAGGGACCTGGCCAATCTGTAGAGTAGAAAGAGGCAGCCTCGCCATGCAGAGAGAAAGAGTTACTGGTTTTATTATTATTATCATTGTTATTATAATGTAGGACTGCAGACAGCCTCTCTCTGACACAGTCAGGGGCTAACAGCAATATACGGTTGGATTCTTCTTTAGAAGGTCATAAATTAGCAACTTATACTTCATCTTTTAAAAAAATTGAATAAATAAATAAATTAATTAAAAAAGAAAGAGAGAGAGAGAAAGAGAGAGAGAGAGTCAGTCACGACATGCAAGAGCTCACAACAGAATGAGGAAAATGACCAAAGCAAAGCCCAGAACTGCAGCAGAGCCCAGGGTCGGTTTGGTTTGCGATCAATGCAGGTCGGAAGCATCGTTTATAAAGGTATTTCATATACCAAAGAAGGCACCACAGTATCTACAAAGCCAAATCCTCAGGAGGGGTCTGGGGGTGAGGGGGCAGCCTGGCTGGAGCAGACAGATCTGAGGGTGCAGCACATCCCCCCCCCTCTTAAGCTTGTCCATTGCAAAACTGAACTCTTCCATTTTACGTTTGGTTTTGCTGTCTCTGTTGTTAAAACACAAAATAATTGTAATAAAAAGACAAATGTGGAAAATGGCAAAGGGAGGCGATGTTCCAATCTTAAACACAAGAGGTGGAATATTTCTGGGATCAAGTTTAAAACAATTGGAGCGGGATCACTGTCACCAGAGCTGCCCAGGGGTCACAGTGTGTTAGCCCCACACCCTCCTCCCCAGCCAACAGCCCCCCCTGTATCACCCCCTCGGCCATCAGTGGAGGGTCACTGCCACCCCACTGCTGCCTGGGGACATGGGATAGCCGGGCCTGACACTCCCAACCACGTCTCAGCTCTCCCTGTGTAAATCTGGTGTCTTGTGGGGTGCCCCCCGTGGCCCTGGGCCGGGGTGCCCCAGTGCTCCTCTGCACAACCGCGATCTGCAGAGCAGGAACTGAACAGAGAACAGGAAGGAAAGGGGAAAAAAAAAAAAGAAAGAAAGAAAAGAAACAGTTGAAACCATGTGTTTACTGGTATCAGTACATGAGACTCCTAAAGAACACCTGGTCCTCCTAGTTAACCTTGTCCTGGAATATGTACAGGTTGTTCGTGGCTGCCACGGCGATGATGTTCTCGGAGGGGTGCCAAGCTGTGTGCAGGATCTTTTTGCTAAAGTCCAGACTGTCCACGCTGATCTCGTCTTTCCTGCGCTTGCCGCCCACGCAGACCTTGCGGGGCTTGAGGATGGCGCGGGGTTTGCTGTTCTCCCGCGACGCCTCCAGCGTCACGTCACGCTTGGTGTTGCGGTCGAACATGCGGAAGAAGTTGTTGTAGGAGCCGGTCATGATGACACTGTGAGGGGGAAGGACAGATGATTTTCGCACCTTTTCAGAGGCAAACTGCTGGTGACCAAGAGGCAGACTGAACATTCAGAGGCATAATGAGATCTGGTAAGAATTGGAATTTGGCTCAGGCCCAGTTGCGCCTCGTCAGCTCGCTCTGATGGCTCAGACAAAAAAAATCTGTCAGCCCTGCCAGGTCAGGCAGCCTTGAACGCTTCCTGTTGCCTGGCTCAGTGTGAGTCACACCTGGATACTCATCATCCCCAGATTCTGGCACTCTGGAGCTAAACTTATCACCACGCTTCTCCAGCTGTGGGAGACAGCTGATCCCATGCAGGAGAGAGTGGGACCCTCAGACAACCCCAGCAAGACTCACGTAAAGCCTGCAGGTGCAGGTAGTCCCTCTTGCACCTCTCCAGACCCTGCACCCAGCCAAAGGCCAGGGAAGGGGCTGCCAGGGGCTGTGGAACCCCTCATCCCACCCCAAATTGAGCATCCCTGGGCCGGACGCAGCCCCACCACCACACACTCACCTGTCGGACCCGTTCCAGACGCACTCGAACTTGTCGAAGATGCAGTCGTTCTCGTAGAGCGAGCAGAGCTTGCTCCGCAGGTAGTCATGGACCTGCCAGCAGGAGGGATGGGATGAGCTCCCCACATTTGACCAGCACAGCACAGTGACTGGCAGATCCAGCCCTGAGATCACTGGGAGCTGATGGACCCAGCCCAGCCCCACACTCGCCACAGCCAAGCTGGCAGCGTTGGGCACTGCCTGGCACCCTGTGCCCTGCCACAGCCACCCTTCTCCTTTAAAAACCTCCAGCCACACTCCACATATGGCTTGGACAGCACTGGGCAGTGGTACATCCCCTGGCAGAGGGCGGCAGGACAGGGCTATTGCTCTGCACAAGGCCTCCCACCTGGCTGTCCCAGCCACCGGCACCTGAGCTTCCCCTCTTTACCGACCCTCAGCCTGGGGATGTGCTGACAGCTCAGCCAGCCACTCAAGCCCATATTTAACAACTCTACATTTGTTTTCCACCATCTAAAGGCACAAAGCTCCCACCCAGCAGGTGTGTACCTGCCACTCCAAGCGTCTGCCCAGGCCATGGCTCAGGAAGGAGCACAGTTGGTGTCCAACCGCTGCAGGTGCCCGGCCATGCCACACTCACCTGGTAGGTCTCGATGGGCCGGTTCTCCATGTTCAAGTCCCACACCTTGACAGTGAGGTAGTCCCGGGTCATGATGTACCTCCCACTGTGGCTGAATTTGACATCGGAGATTGAGGAGATGATCTCAGAAAAAAATGACCGGTTACTCGGGTCTTCAGGCTCTTCAAAAACTGTAGAAGAGGAAAGGACAAGCCCCGGCATCAGATGAGGAAGAAGCTCCCTGATCCCAGGCCAGGGACCTGCCACCCTGTCCCAGCACCGTGGGAAGCTCCTGGGATGGAAGCAGGCATCCCTGGAACTACACTGCCATATGCAAGAAGGATCAGGAGACTGATCCTACGGACAGCCCAGGAGCCTGGGCCCCTGGCACGGCACCTCTGCTCTCCAGGAATTGGCAGGCAGCATAATTGACATCAATGTAAATATTTTATAGCCACTGCAACCTACAGATTTGATCTGATCAGTCTTTGAATAAATCACAGGTTGAAGGAGACCAATAAAGTTCCAAACTAAATATATTTACGGATTTGAAAGTGACATCAGTGCCCTGACCAGGGTCCGACAGAGGCAATGCCAGGGGTGCCAGCACACACACACAGAGGTGATGTCAGGACAAGGGTCTCAACACACAGGTGGTGCTGCCCAGTCCCCAGGTGGGTCTGTGAACCAAAGCTGGCAGCCAGGCAGGGCAGGGGCTTGGGGCAGCTATTTTTGCTTCGAGCTGAAGGCTTTTGTGTGGCTTTGCTCCTGCTGCAGAAGCAGATCTGGGCTGCTGAGCTCATGGAAAGGATTTCTGAGCACTAATTCTCTCTTACACAACAAACCTATTTTCTCTGGCACCAAGCGGGTGCTGCCCTGCCCACTTCGGCTCCCTCTGCCAGCCCTCCCTCCTTCCCAGCCCCCTCTCTGTGGCGACCTGATTGAACCCTGAGATGGCTCCGAAGGGCTGCACGGCCCGTGGAGTGATCCCGCTCCTCGGGGGACCGACGGCCTCTCCATCCATCCCGTGCCTGGGAAGCAGCAGTGCCAAGTCTGGCTGGGGCTCCCCCAAAGGCAGCAATGCCGGCCCACCGACGGGGACGGGAGGAGGGATTGTGGCAGAGACACTCCTGCAATGCTGGAGAGTGAAGGTGCAGCTGTGAGTTGCCTGATCACAGCAGCTTCTTATTTCTACCCGAAGCTGAAGCTGCTTTCAGCAAAGAACAGCGCTGCAGCAGCGCAGTCAGCAGGGCAAGGATGAGGTGGAGCAGGTCCTGAGGGAAGGGGGCTGTGCCTTGAGCGTGTGGTTCAGGAGCTTGGCAGGTACAATCACAGGTGGCTCCTAAAAAACAAGTGGAAAGCCCGATGCCTTTTGCTAAAGGGAAATAACTGTAGAACCCCCAGCAGGGCTTTTCCTCACTTTCTCACATCCTTTCCAAAAAGGATTGCTTTTGCTGGCATTACCAGCTGCTCTTGGGATCCCAGTCTCCCCTCTGGCTTCCCCTGGTGCTTCAGATAACGCACAGGATTCCCATGTGCCTGCTGAGCCAGGGCAGGTATCCCCTCACAGGGCCACTGCTCCTCTGAGTGCTACAGCACATGGCTCTTCACAGTGTCCCCACAGAGAGGACATTCCTATCAGCTCCTCACATCCTCACAGAGTGGGCGTTCCTATCCAAGCTGCTGTTCCCTCAGGCCAGCTCCACACCAGGGTAACACAGATGTCAGAGAGGAGCTTCAAATAATGTGGGCAAACAAACCTTAATAAGAGAAGCACCAAGTCAGAGCTGCCCCAAGCAGTGACTGCACCATCTACATAAACCTGACAGGATGTGCAGAGCAGTTTTATTAAATACTGACAGTTATTAAATGTCTCCATTGGAGGATTTGCTCTGAAAGCCAATGTTGCTTTTCATTTTGAACTTTGATGAACTGTCTCAATTTCGACTCCCACATCTGCTGAACCACAATTGACTGCAGCTGATGCTTCGGAGGGATGGAGGGGAATCAATCAGGAGATGTCATGGGAGAGGTCACACCAAGCGGGATGCACCACCGCCAGTGTGTTGCTGAGGGCTGGTGGGACCAGGCAGTGCCCAAACAAAGGGAAATGCTGGGGGCTTCTGCTGCTGAAGTGTCAGGAAAATGAATTTTGTTTGCTCCTTAATTGTATTATGATTTTCAGCTGGGAACCGTTGCTGTCAGACTGTGAGCCATGGCTGGGAAACACAGGGACAGACCAGGTGTGTTTTCCTCAGCATTTGGGAATACTGCCATTCAGTATTTCCCAAACTACCACCAGCAATGTGAGCTTTCCTCTGTCTGCTTTACTCCAGGTTAAAAACAGGTATTGGACTGCAACTGTGGCTCAGGATCCCAGAAGCAGCAGCTGGGGTGTAATTCCCTACCACACCAGGAGACCTAAACCCAAACACAGCCAGGGGCTTGCTGGAGGCAGGTTGTTAGTGGGGGGCTGCAGTCAGCTGCACCTAGTTTGTGCATCTTGTCCTTGCAATGTGATCACACTCTGAATACGGAAAGTCTCCTTAATTTCCCATGGGATACTGGCCACTTTCTGAAGCAAGCTCACACAAGAAGAGGAGACACAGGGGTTTGGCTGCCCAGGGACGTAGCACAGCGGCCCAGGGCTCTGCCACACCTCGTTATCTCTAAGGCAGGTACCAAACCCCTTCAGTCTGTCCCACCTCTGTGTCTGATTTTCGACACTGTGCCCAGCACGGGACTGCCTTCCAGGAGCTGCCAGGGCACAATGAGCAGCAGCAGGTATTCGCCAGCCCACCCATGAATGCCATGGTGTTCGTGCCTATGTTCCACTGAGCAGTTGCTGACAAGGAGAATATTCCCCATAAGCACCACCTGACACGTGCAGGCTGAGCCAGGACCGGCTGTGCTGGACACAGCAGCTCACCCATCCCCACAAGTCCCACTTACTCCAAACTTCAAGGGGGCTTTTCTGCCCCTCCTGATCCCTGTGGCATCAACCACAGCTGACAACAGGACCCGGGACTGTTCAGGCAAACAGCCTGAAGGAATACACCGATCCCTGTCTCTGGCATTGACAGCTCAGTAGTTGCTGTGCACTGACATTCCTGTGACCCTTTGAACCCAAACCATCACCATGGTGGGTTTAACCTGCTCCCCGAAAGGTGTGGAGCCAGGACACAGGGGAAGCTGCTCCTCCTGGGGACAGGCAGGATGTGTGAGGGTGGGTCGCCATGGGGACCAGAGCCTGGCACAGCAGGGGGAGAGGAGACAAGGTGGTAGGGCAGACCCAAGCCCAGGTGGTTCTCCACACTCCCTCTTTTGTGCTCCTTTAACCCAAGGGGCCCCGCACTCACACTTGGCGTGGCGGTCGCAGAGGGCGGCGGTGCGCATGTCACACAGCCGGATGGTGCCTTTGCTGCTGCTGTACACGAAGGTGTTGCAGTGGTGCGGGTGGAACTCGGCGGCCGTGATCACCTCCGTCAGCTCCTCCATGTTGGCGGGCTTGATGTCCACGATGTCTGACAGGGCGAGTAAAGGAGCCCACACAGGCCAGCTCAAACCCCACTCCTCCCAGGGGGTCTCCTCTCACCCCCACTCCTACTGATGTCCCTGGGCACGGGGGCTCCCCCTCGCCTCAGGCAAACCAGGTGTTGCCAGGTGGCAGCACCATCCTGGGGCAAAACTGCAGCACAGAGAGGGCCCAGCTCCCACCAGTGCAGGGGAAAGCCAACATCCAACACATTTTCTCTTCAGCTGGGAACCCCAGCTCTGGTACCACAGCCAGGAGACCCTCTGCGGGGCACAAGACCTGATTTGTCCATCCACCCCAGGCCAGAATAAACATCTTTTATTGCAGAGTGGGGGCTCAAAACCCAGGGCACAAGAGCCAACAGAAAACCCCCTCTAAGTCCCTGGGGCCATCTGAACTCCCTGAGGATTGACCCAGATTTAGTTCTTCTCATCTTCATCTTTGAAAAAAAGCAGGCACTGCAGCCCTACTTTCCCACACCCACTCTGAGCTCCCACAGCCACACGCCTGTGACTGCTGAAATCCTCTCCAGCTGCCTAAACTGTGCCCCAGGGATTTCTCGGCAGGAAACACCATATAAATATCACTGATGATTAGTGCCCCGTGTTATTATTTCCGATGCAGCTGTTACAAGGGTGACTGGTACGACCTCATTTGTACGGCGGTGACTGGCAGCCTGTCACCTGCTGCAGGGTATAACGGGGACCGCACCATTAGTGTCTCCATCTTCCCCAAGGCATCTGTCTCCTCCACCACCTGCAGATCCCCCTCCCTCTACCCACCCCACCAGACCCTGCAGGTAAATTCAAAAACGTGTCACCCTCACGGCAGGTGACAGCAGCAGCCATGGCAATGCCAGCTGAGCCCCGTGCCATGGAGGGAGCGGCTTGGTGTGATGGCTGGATGTGCTCGTGGGACACAGCCCAGCCTCCCACCGGCAGCAGAGGCAGAGATGAGAGGGCAGTGCCTTGGCAATGACACCTGGAACTGGGGACCTCGGGCACTCTGCCGTCAGGTGCACAGCAGGCAGCACTATTTCATACTCCTGAGCCCAGGCCAGCCTTGCCAGAGGGTGAAGCTCCTGTACTGAGGCACCGAGACTGAGCCAAGCAAGCCATTGCACTGCCCGGTCACTAACCCCCACAGGCACAGGCACAGCCCTGGCCCTCATCAGAATCCAGGGCTGTCCTCAGGGCCATGTGCACCAAAGGATACTAAAACTTTGATTTGTGATTTCAAAATTCCACAGGTTTATCCTCAGGTCATCCGCTGACATGTAGGTCTCGTAGTCGCTGTTGACGGAGATGGAGTTGATGTGGTAGGTGTGTGCGTTGGCAAACACCCTCCGGGGAGTGGCCTCCACCATCAGGTCCATGGGCCGGAGCACGGGGACCTGTAGGATGGGGAGCAGAGCATCAGCACCAAAGGATAGGGTCTGGTCGTCCCCCCCAACTCATGCCAGCACCCGGCGTGGGGGAACACCCCCACAGCGTCCCACAGAGTTCTGGCTGCCAGCGCTCCATCCCACCTGCCTAACAGACTCTCTCTAGGAAAACCTAATGCCTTCTCAAGTGTATGACAGAAGGACAAACAAAACCAAAAGCCTTCTAATTTTGAGAGAGGCTCCAGGATGCTTAGACCACAGTGAAGCAGCAAGAGCCCAGTAAACCAGGCTCTGATCTCGCCGCAGCAAGTGCTCCAGCTTTGAAACAAAAAAACAACGAAAAAAACTTCTGCCTCGTTTTGTCACTGATAGCTGGGACCTGATATTCCTGTAGCATTTCTAACAGAAATGCATTTCTTGAGAGAGCCAGGTCAGCACAAGTTTTCCTTTAACCTTTCTGCATTTGCCTCACAGCAAACTGACAGAAGTAGGAGATGAAAAGGGACAGAGCGAGGGACACATAGGCAAGGGCAGAGGGAAGGACCAGGGACAGAGCTGCCTTTAGATGAATCAGCATAACCCAGAGGGGATGGGGAGATGCAGTAGGGACCATGTGTGTGAGGAGTGGGGTCAGTAATAACTTCGGACACAACGCTCTGAAGGAAACTTAATACACCAGGAATGTGTCAGTCCGTGCTCCTGCTCGCCAGTGAGCTGTTCCCTCCAGCTACTTCATTACTTTTATTATCTGTGTGCTGCCTGAAGAGATTTCCCATGGCTGCAGAGGTGGGGATGGGAGTGACAGCCAGCTCGAGTGACACGAGAGCACTGGCGCTGCCAGCTCAGAGCCTGAGCCTAATGTGAGGAGCCTGCCTGCTAATTCCACCTGACACAGCCAATGATGCATCGTTTGCGCTGACGGACTCTGCTCAGCCAGCTGGAGATGGGGGACAGCGGCTCCAGGACCACAGGGACCGGCTGTCAGCCTGACCGTCGGGAACACGATGGTTGTGCAAAGAGAAAGGGTTCAGCAGCTTCACCGAGCCTGGCTGGACATGAAAACAAGCACAGAGAAGGCTTGTCAGGGGATTCTGCTCAGCGAGATGACTCTGTGAGACCTGGTACAGCTCATGGTCAGACCTGGGCTGGTCCCCATCTCCAATCCAGGCAATCCTGGGCTGATCCCAGCACCATGGGCGCCTGCAGCTCCCAGTGCCCCAGCGCAATTCCCTACTTGTTCCTACATGGCAGCCACTCAACCACAGTGGTACAATAAACTCCTCAGCCAAGAACGTTCTCCATGTTACTTCAGAGCCAAATCCTGGGGAGACTTCTTTTATGCCTGGGACTTGGCCCATCACCAGACAAAACCCCACGAGAGCAACAAACCTGGTCATGCATGACTGGTTTGTTAAGGCAGGGATTTTTATCTGCTACAGTGGGAAGAATCTGCACTGAAATATGGAAACCAGCACACCCACATGCTGCAAGCTTTTGCTTAAGGGTATCAGCAATCAGGATTTAACCCTGAAAGGACTTTGAGGCAGGAGCAGCCAGGAATGTGCCAGGGGCACACACTGGTTTGAAAAGCTCATCCCCCAACAGTGGGATCCTGCAGCGCAGGGAACCCTGGCTTGGGATGGCTGAAGGTAGCAGCTGCCCAGCCCTCAGCTGCAGTGGAGAGGGAACATTAACAAATGGGGCAATGTGACAGCAACTGGAACTGGGTTTTATGCTTTTTTGAAGCAGGCACAGGCTGAGTCAGCGTCTGCCCAACCAACCTGACTCTATCAGCAGTGCCATGGCAATCCTCAACAGCAGAGGCCTCCTCACACATCCCTGCTCCAGCTCCGGAGCCCACCTCAGGGCAGGCTCTGGTGTCACACACACCCATTATTAAAGGGTAATTCAGTGTAACAAAGCGCATCAAGTACACAGAAAGACTGTCAAATAAAATAAAGCACTAATAAATTCAATTACTTTCTCTTTTCAGGAAGGGGGGAATTCCAGTCATTTTTCATTTAAAACAAAATATGTCTTAATTTTTCTTCCTGCCTTTAGCAGGCACCCCCTGCAGAAGAGACATCCCACTTACTCCAAGCACACATGACACTTGATCCCTCTCCCTGTGTCTGGCGAAGGCTTCCCCGAGTTTATGAGACACTAACCTGCCCTTGAGCTGTAAACTCATTTACTCTGTGGTTGAGGTGGAGGGAACTGGCCTTCCCACCACTGCTACTGTGCATCCTCCTGCCACCTCCAGCCCTGAGCGAAGGACCACAGCGCCGGGGATGTGGTGTCAGTAATTGCCCCTGTCCCCATCAGGCTTCCCCTTTCATTGTCTGTCATGTCGGCTGTCACCGGGTGCTCCCTGCGGAAAAGCTCCGCGTGGCCGAGCTCTCCGTGTCATCCACAGAGCTGTGATGGACGTGGCCTGCAGAGCCACAGAGATTCAGTGCTTCTCAGGAACGCCTCATCCTCTGCCCAGAGGTGCCACGTGGCAGCAGCGTTAGCAAAACACAGGTCAATATATGGGGGAAAGGATCAAGGGCTCAGCTCCTGGGACAAACAGTCACAAACCTCCCAAAGCCCACAGCCAACGTGTGCCGGGTTTGAGCTGCCCTGCACTGGGGGTCAGGTGGGGACATGGACCTCCCACACAGCCCCACAGAGGGAAGGGACCCAACTACCCACATGCAAACGGAAAGCAATGCTGTGAATCCTCATGGGACGCACCAGAGGCCAGGAATTCACAAAGGGTGTGAATATGACATGACTGACTGCAGTAGGACCACCTACCCATTTCTGTGCAATGGAGAGGGGGGTTTGCTTCTGGTTACCTCCATGGAAACCCTCTGTGCCCAATGGACTACTGCAGGACCAGCTGCAGGCAGCTCCCCCTGTGACCCTGACAGGCACAGCCATGCTCAGCTGGGCCAGCCGTGCTGTGAGCCAGTGGGGAGAGCTTTCCTCGCTCCTGCATTTACAGCAGGACACACATCCCTCTCCAGTGAGAGCTGAGGGTGGTGGTGCCAAGCCAGCACAGCAGTGGTGCCGGATCAGGACAGTGGTGGTGCCAGATCAGCCCAGTGGTGATGCCAGGCCAGCCCAGTGGGCGACTGTGCAACCCCACTCCCCCCAGCCCACCCCACTGCTCTGCACCAGCATGGCTGGCACCCAGCTTGCTCCACAGCCTCCCACAGGATTTGGACAAGGGGGATTAGTCAAACCGAAGCCTGGATTGACCCCAGCCTTGGGTCTGCGAGAAGGAAACTATAATCCAGTCCCTGGCAAATCGGGAGCAGAGCGAGCGCTCAGGGATAAATCCAGCGAGTTTTCCACCCACCCCAGCAGCTGAGCTCCTCCAGCAGCTGAGCTCCCCCAGGCACACTCCCCATTCATTTCCTACCTACACAAGGCACATTCTGTGACTGCCCAATGTCACCTCCAGATTAATATTTTGCAGACGAAATGAGCATCAAACACTATTTTCATGGTAGACTGACAATTTCATGCTCCTCAGGATTTTGTCACATAAGACCTGCCCTGTGATATGTGGAAGGGACCTTCCTGTGGGAGGACAAAGCCGCTGCCTCACTGCTCATCCACACAGCTGATGGAGCTGCTGGTTCCACCTCTTGTCCCCAGACATGACCCTCACTGCCCAGCACTGCACTCACACTGTTCCTTCTGTTGCCTGTCCCTGAGCCTGTTCTCAGACATGGGCATGGACTTGTTGCCCACTAAAGACCCACCTGAGTCTGCAGAGACCTCAGAGAACAAACAGAACATTTTTCTTATCTGAAGTTAAACCCCTGAACTCCTCATGCTACTCCCATCAGAACAGCATTCCCCTTAAAGAAGTGATGGTTTGAAAAGATGTTTTTTTAACTTACTTCTCCCACTGAAAAATAGCCAGTGTCAGTAAAATCCCACCAGGCAGTTCACAGTTTCCCTGCTTTTCCAAGGAGGAGTGTGCAGAAACACAGCCATGTTCCCAAACCCCATTCACAGTGACTCAAACCCATGTGATAACCCTGCCTGGCACGTTGCTGTTACAGCACGTCTGGACACAGATACCAGCAGGGTCATTGCTGTGGAAAAGAGAGGAAAAAATATCTGAAAGATCAGTGACTGAGCCAGTGCCCCCCTCAGCAGCCTCCCAATGTGTGGTGGTGAGCACAGAGTGGACAGAGCAGCCAGGTTGCCCCAAAGGGCAGCCGAGCGTGTGGATGTCACACCCTGAGGGGTTGGACCTCAAAGGGCAGCCAAGTGTGTGGATGCCACACCCTGAGCTGCTCTGAGGCACTGGAAGCAACTAATTAAAACGGGAAAACCCTTTTTGTTTTTTTTTCTTAGTTTCCATGGCACTGCTTTGCTGACGAACATTTGAAATTGATTAGCTCTGCCATGTGCATTTTACAGCCAAAAAAAGCCAAATGGCCCACACCGCCTTGCCACTTAAATGCTCTGTGGAATGTACACAAGGAAAAGAGACAAATCTCTTTGCTGGGGCAGAAAGGCAGCAGCAGCACAGCAGCCCTCCTCTGAGGCGTCTCCCATCACAGCCACTCTGGGGCTGCCATCAGGGGGGCACAGCACAGCCTCCCTGGGAAACTGCGCACAGGAGCCAAGAACTCCGAGTGCTTCGGCAAAATGGGAGATACAAACCAGGCTTTATGATGGAATTTGCTGGAGAGCGTGAAGTGGCAGCTCCTAATCAGAGAGGGCTGTGTGACAGCTACAAACATGAAGAATTAGGCACACAACGGCCCTGCCCATCACACCTTCCCACCAGCGGCACAGCCCACGCCAAACACTGGCAGCACCCGGTGCCCACCGGCTCCGAGGGACAGAGCACCCAGGGTGTCACCACAGACTGACTGCTCTGTGAGGGACCAAAGCAAACACATCCTCTCTTTGAAAAGGTTTAAACCCTGAATATTACTTGTGTCAATTATCTCTTGCACACATCCCATGGCACAGGTACAGCGAGCGGCGCTCAGGAGCACATCGAGGCTGCTACACGAGGCTGAAGGGCTGCAGTTATTAGACCTGGGGCGATTCAAATCAGCAGAGCTATTCTCCTGACAGCAAACACCACACTTCACACCCTAAGCAGAGTTAAATATTCCTTTTGCACTATGTGGGTTAGAAATTCCTCAGAGGATGATGCTCATCAAGCGCATTTAAACCATTAAGCCAAATGGGTGAGAAATGACTGCAGCAAGGTGGGTTTAAAACCCTTTTTCGCTTGTTTGTGGTTGAAAATTAAACTGTGGATGGATGTGGCTTTACTCCAAAGCACGAGCATCACAGGACAATTACATGGCAGAGATACACCAAGCTGCAGCAAAACGGTTACAGCTATGTAAATATCTGTCTAAGTAAAATCATCAAAACATTAGATCAAAAGGAGCTGGCAGAAGACTCCTCAATCCTCTGTCCTCAGGGACCGCAGGCACTACACAGCAGATACCAATAACCATAACACCGAGCACTTACAGCGTGTTTTACCTCCCGGTGCCGTGGTGAAGTAGGAGCCGCGCGCTCCTGCGGGGCCACTCACCAGGAGCAGGAACAGCAGTGCCTGATCCCAGTGACTGGCAGACACCAAAAAGCAACTCCTCCAGCCACACAGCACCGAGCTGCTACCAGGAGTGAAAAGGGCTGAGAGTAAAACAAAAGCTGAAACTTTCAAGGCAGAGAGTGGACTCCAGCAGTGTCCAGTTCTCTGATATTTCAGTATGCCTTTCCACAAGGGAAAAAGAAATCCTAGGACCTTCTCAGTGTGTTTAACCAGAGAAGGAAGCACTACCTGGGGTAACACCTTTAACACTTCTGCTTTTCCAAACCCTGCTTCCTGCCCCACTGAGCTGTTGGAGCCCCAGCTCCAACAGCTGGATGCCAAGCAAACCTCTCCAACAGGCTGTCAGGCAATGGCACGTTAGGCTGGAAATGCTGCCTGAACAGCAGACACACATCTACATGAAACAAATGGTCTCTTGCTCTGTAAAGGAAAAGGCTGCCAGCCACCAGGAGCAACCCCGTACAGAGACAAGAATTAACCACCTGCCCAGGGTTTTTAATGGCATCATCCACAATGGAACTGGGAGCCACAGAGTGAGGCCAGGGCAATCACAGTAACAATTTTGTACTATAAAACCCACAAGTGCTCACAATGCAAATTCTGATAGGATGATAATAAATTACCAGATGGTCTGCTCTGCTTACTGTCATGACCAGGAGGAAAAACTCATGTAGAAGAAGTACTTGTGCTCCCACAGCAGCAGCACCTGCACATGTGAATGCTCCAGGAGAGGTAGGCTCATGTCCTGCCTCCTCACCAGGATGGACACGGCCTGTGGGGTGGCACAGCAGCACTGTGGCACTGGGGTACCTGACACGGGACAGAACGTGGCACTGGTGGCACACCTGCCCAGAGCTTGCACAGCCCCACGGCAGCTCTCTCCTCCATTCCCATGCCCGTTCACCATCCAAAGCACCGGCCTCCAAACAAGGATGCCCTCTGACATCAACTGACCACGGCAGGATGGCACTGCAGGTACCAGGGCACACAGGGGACACCAGCAGCAATTTTCATCCAAGTCCCTGCAGTAAAAGGCTCCTTGACAGCCACGGTTCCCCACACTCACCCGTAGCATGGTGATCATGGAGGGGTCTCGGAGACGGCCATCCTCATCCTTGAGGTTGTATCCCTCCGGTCTCTTGTCCCGCTCGCTGACCTTCCATAGCTTCACAGTCTTATCTGGGGGAGGAAAGAGGAGAGTGTCACCTGAGCCACACACTGATGGACACACCAAGACCATGCTGGCTGGAAAAATCTGCTGTCCCCCAATGCCACATGCTGGAAGGGGTGACAGATGTACCTGTCCCCACAGAAAGCTGCTCACGTGCAGCTCTGCAGAGGAGCAAAGACACATGGGGCATTCTGGACACACCTCAAAGGACATGACAGGGTTTCTGTAGTTCACTCAGAGTCATCCTGACTTTCCCCACCCAGAACTGTGCACAGACCAGTACTCACCAGGGACCGAAGTCAGCTCCAACCTCCCCCACAGTTCCCTGTCCCCTCCCAGTGTCCCCTCCCGGCATCCCATCCCCTGTGCCACAGAGTCCTTGGGGAAGGAACCCCAAGAACACATGGGGTTATTCTGAATAATGTTGTTTTCTTTGCTCCCTCCTAGCAGGGACTCCATCCATAGTTTATCATCACTTCCACCAGGTTTCATACACAATCCCATCATCCATCTTCATTTTCTCCCTTACACGGTAACTCCAATGGAGCACCATTAATTTTGTTTTTATTAACCTGTTCTACTTCGGGGGGTTCGATATAAAATGTTAGTAAGAACAAAAAGAAACAGCATAACACGGGAGTATTTCCAAAAGAATCGTTTTGATAACCTGCCTGCGTATGGAACACCATTCCACATGGAAGAGTAATATCCCTGTTAATCAAAAAACTATTTAAAAACTCAATTAACAGAACATTATGCTGTATAATTAATCTTAATTGCATTTCAATGATTCTCCCCTCAAATGAGTTTAGTAAGTCTTTGAATTTTATTACAATGATCAATAGAGTCAATTCTACAACACAAAGTAAGTTGGTTATGGAAGATGATTAGACCCCTCCTATTCCCCTGAAGTAATTAAGTCACATCCATCTTAAGGTCCCATTCATCCCAAGTAATATTCCTGGATCCTCATGATATTTATCAGAACATAACATGGAACTGCTGAGCTGAACGGAACTGCAAATTGAAACAAATCAGCTGCAGTTTGTCTTGAAAAAGAAAAAAAAAAAAACACAAGAGTTCCCAGGATCCAAAGAATAAAAAACAAAAGTTGTCAGCAAGGAAGAAGTCTCCCTCCCTCCACCTCCCGTTCTCTCTGAGCCCAGGCACCCGCGGCCGTGGGCACTCACCGTTGGTGGAGAGCAGGAAATAGGCCGCGTTCTGCTGTGGCAGCCATCGGATCTTATTGATCTTCTCCTCGATCTCCAGGCTCTTCAGGTAATCGAACTCCGGCTCGTGGCTCTGGAAGGTGCTGTAGACATTGTACTCTCCCCTGCGGTGGGGCTGGTTCTTGCTCTGCAGAGGGAGAGGCAGGAGCTGAAGGCGCTGGCAGCGGGCTCGGGGCTCTCCAGGGTTTGTGAAGCAACGCAAGAGCAGGGCTGGACACCCCGGGATGGCCTCTCCTGGCACCAGGGCTCCTGGTGTGCTCAGTGGGAACAGAGTGGGAATGGAGCAGGAATGGAGAGGGGACAGAGGAGAATCGGAGAAGGAACAGAGTTGGAATGGAGAGGGAATGGAGCAGGAACAGAGCGAGAACAGAGTGGGAATGGTGAGGGAACAGAATGAGAACACAGCGGGAATGGAGAAGAAATGTAGAGGGAATGGAGTGGAAACACAGAGGGAATGGAGAGGGAGTGTAGCATGAACAGATCCCACCGCACTGGCCGTTCCCAGTGAATGGGTGGGACTGAGCTCCAGCTCCTGCTGGGTGCTGGACTCACCACAGAGGAGCCACTGGCAGCAGCCACTGGTATGGGCTGGGCAGTGCCTGCCCAGTGGGTCCATGGTTACAGAGTAAGGATAACACAGCAAGAAGCAGGACGTGGTCCCTGTGGGAACTGACACTGTGCCCCAGTTCAGTGCTTGGAAGACACCGTGTATCTGCAAATGCCACAAATGAACCAACAGCACCGGGCTCCAAACAGGGCTGAGGTAATTAAATAAAACCACCGTGGAGATGAACCTCCCACACACGAATGGAGCGTTTGGGGGGCTGAAGCCCCACATGTCCCCTGGAGCAGGAGCTGAGCGGATACACCTGGAGTGATGCTGGAGGCTTAAAGTTCAAGAAAAGCAGCAGAGTAATGAAATGAGAGGGAAAGGAGAAATGAAATAGTGATGGAAAGGCTGATGACTGTCTACACATGCAACTTTTAACCACTGGGTTCTCTCCAGCCTGAAGAGAAATAATTTTGAGGCTTTAACTTTGAGAAAAATTTAAAACTGTGACATGTCTCATGGCCAGGTCTGACTCATCCCTTTCAGTGCGGGGGAGGACAGGTCCCACCAGCTCAGCCCGGGCCAGAGCAGCAAACCAGGATGGCTTCGGAAATGGTGGGGACCCTCCCTGGTGGGGGGAGCCAGCACAGCTCCTCCAGCCAGGCTGGCAGGAGACCCACCAGTGCTGGGCCATGCTGAGGGCTGAGGGCCAAGCACACACCACCCTGGCAGGCGTGACCTCCAGCTTCCAGCAGGGCGTTTGCTAACAATTCCTGGGCATAGTTTGGGAAGGGAAACGCAATCGTTGCATCCATCTACACTTTCCAGAATTTTGGTGGTGTGAGGGGGCTCTTGGGGTGGTGTCACCTCTGAGACAGGCTCTCACCACACACTCTGACCCACTGCCTGATCCCCGTTACACTTGGAACAGAAGGATGCAGGAAATGTGACTTCTGGAGGGTGTCTGACAGGAGGAAATCTGGCCCTGCTGATGTTAATAGTGGCTTTTCAGCTTGGAGTCTGCCAGGAGAGCCCTGAGGTTAGGAGTGACACAGGCAGATTAGGAAACAGCAGGATGCTTCACTTAAAAGGATAAAATGGGCATTTTGCATTCACTGGCACTTACCTCCTGCTCACGCTGAAATATTACAACCCGGCCCCCCTTGTCCCCTGTTGCCAGTAACTCTCCAGTGTGGTTGAACTCGACTGTGGAGATGATGTCAGCTGAGAAGGAGAAGACAAAGACAATTTAAGTAACTGCAGCCTGGCTTCCGCAGGCATCCAGAAAGCGCCATTCCCCGTGCAGCTACACGCCCTGTCAGTGCTCCATCCCCTGTGGCATCTCCATAAATCCCTGTTTTTCTATTGTCTCTAACACTAAACAGACCCAGCATTTTGGAACTATGCTGTCATGAGCCCACACCTGCCTGGTGCTCCTGCCTGGTGCTCCTGCACCCCTGCCCTGGCCTGTGCCCCAACGCCGGAGCCAGGGAGATTTCCAGGCACTGTGCCTGTGCTAAATGCAGCCTGGGGACTGCTGCTGGCAGCACAGGCGCAGGGCTGGGTGGCACAGCATGGCATGGCACAGCATGGCACGGCATGGCATGGCACGGTCCCCCAGGGGAGTGCCCTAGGGAGTCACCCCACCGCTTCGGGTGACACAATTGATTCCTGGGACCTGGAGAGGGCTCAGTGCCACCAGTGCCCCAGCACCTCATCCTGGCACCTGCCATGGCACCCAGGTGTTGGGCAAGTCTCACTCCCACCTGGCCCTTATGCCACCTTCCGTCTGGGGTGATGGTTTGCCTTCCTCCTCAGAGGAGAGGGCGCAGATGAATGAGGACACCTTTGTCCTCTGCCTCTGAGCTCTCCAGGCAGAGCAGCCCAGGTGACCACATCCACACTGCTGCTTTCCTGTGCCTGTTGCCAAATCTGCCACTGCCTACCAAGGTAAATTAAAGTGACACCTTTCAGCCTTCCATCAGCCCAAAGGCCACCATGCTCACATCATTCCCTTTCCCCACAAACCAAGGTGCCATCTCCAGGGTGCTGGGCTCAGCAGCGGGAGAAGTGATGGGACCTGTAACTGCAAACGCTTTAATCTGCAGTGTTTACCCTTCAGGCAACGCGGACGGGAGCTGCTAATGATTGGATTTATTGGGCCTATTTTTAGAAGAATGTCAGAGGTTAATTCCACAGCAATTACTGCCCAACTGGTGCTCTACCCACTGCCTGGGGAGCCACACTCTGCCAGCACGGAGCCGGGAAACGGGAAGAGCAACCACTGCCTCGGAGCCCCAACACTGGGTGCAGGATGAATTCTGCGATGAGCAGCACTTGGCCATGACAGCTGCCAGCTCACTCCTGCCATTTGCACTCTCTGTCCCTCTCATTTCTGCAGCACCAGGACTGACAGGGCTGCACAGCCCAGGGCTGCAGCCCCGCAGCCCTGGGAAGGGGCAGACCCCGGTGCTGGCACGGCGGCAAACACTGGCTGTGCACACAGGCCATGGCACTGCCCAGGCTGCAGGCACTGGCTGTGCACACAGGCCATGGCACTGCCCAGGCTGCAGGCACTGGCTGTGCACACAGGCCATGGCACTGCCCAGGCTGCAGGCACTGGCACCTCAGAGCCCTCTGAGCACTGCTGTGGCCCCTCCTGATTATCAGCTCTGTTGTGTACCAGCAGAGAAAGCCTCAGAACCATATAAAATGAGTTGTCCCTTCTCCCTCCCATATCCCATATCCCTCTCAGATACAGATCAGAAAGTTACAAGAGCAGATGAGAAAAGACGAAATGCAGTGACTGGCCCGGGCTCCTGGTGTTGCTGGGACCACTAAGGGACTGTCTTCCAGGACACCAGGCAAGGCAGCACCCCCCCAAACACATGCCCCACGCTGTGGCATTACCCAGGCAAGCCACCTCAGAGCCCTCTCACACGGCCACAGGCTCTCCCAAAACCACACGCCTCTGCCCTGCCCTGGACACCATCTCAGCTGAGCAAGTGACTCCAGGCAGATGTGGGAGTTAGAATGGCCACCCTGTCCCAGTGGTGTAGGGCACTCAATAGCACACACCAGTGCTCACCACACACACCACTGCTCACCAAACCCACCAGTGCTCACAGGCACACACAGCTGGATTTGCTGGCACTTGGCTGGAGAGCTCCAATCCAAAGCACTTTGTTCCCTCACATGGAACCTGTGTGCCTCAGGCACACGGATGCCAGGAAGGGTTTAACCATCTGCTGCCAATGCTCAGGAAGGCTGAGGAGCACTGCAGAGGGGCAGAGCTCCACTCAGGCTCACACCAGTGGCTACAGCCAGGCATGGGCAGCACCCAGCAGGGATGTCAGTCTTTTTGGGTTAAAGTTATGGAATGGATCCTGGACTTCTTCAGAGCACCCGCTCCTCTCTCTTGGTTGGGTCTGAACTATTGGTTAAATATCATTCCCATTTAGCAAAGTCCCACAACCATTGGCAGGACAGGCATTCTTAACACCTGTTAGAGGCTGGGGAGGGACACTGGAGCAGGGTAAATCCCATTTGTGCTCCTGGAACGTGCCTGCCTCGCTACAGCATGTGAAGGTCCTGCAGAGCCAGAACACAGATCTGCAATTCTGTGGAACAGTCATTGGGTCTAACACATAGGAGAACTAACACATCCCTGGGAAGATAAGCCAAAGCCATCTCCCATTCCCACAGTAACTGCAGCCACAGCTGCCCACAGGTGCCACAGCAAAGTCAGACACCTTCAAGCACTGAAACTCTATGTTTGGCACCAAGTCTGGCTCAGCAGCTTCAGCTGAGCCCCAGCTCACACAGATGTTTTCCTTCCTGCAGCAGGACCCCCACCCTGGTGAGTGTCGCTATGACACCATGGGCTGAGCCCAGTGCCACTGAGGTGTCACGTGGAGAACACGCTGGGGATAGGCTTGGAACAGCCACCCCAGCAGCAGCCAAGGGACTGGACAGGCAGCGGCCATGGTCAGGCAGTGCTAACGTGCACCCCTCACTGAGACATGCTTCTGCCTTCTAAAATTACTCAGCTGAAAATGTACCTGTTTTGCACTATTTAATCCTCTCCATCCCCAGCTGCCAGTTTTAGGTCACTCCCTTTTCAATGAATTAAAAATAACTTTCATGCTGCAGCGAGACATTTTTCAGACATGACCTAATGCAAATGCATCACCCTGTCAGCAGGGCTGTGGTCTGAGACACTAGGGCAGGGCACCACAGGGACCCTTGTGGCACCCCAGCTCACCCACCCATTTACACTGCACCCACAGGGACAGGGGGCTGCAGGTCCACATACTCTCCTGGACCTTCTGTTTACTCATGTCCGCTGTCAGGACTTCAGACAAGGATAACAACAGAGCCTGGCTAACAACACCTTTCACGCCTTAAAAAAACGCCCTAAATGTTAAAAAAACTGTCTTGTGAGCAGAAGTATCCAACCCAAGCCCACCACAGTCAACAGGAGCATCATCCCCCAACACCCCGTGGGCTGGGTGCCTGCTCTTCTCCCAGGTGTCTCCAGGCAGTAATAGCAGCCTGGCATGGCACAGGAGAACATCCCGAAGGGAAACAGAGGGGTTCTACAGAGGTTACAGCTCGGGAGCACAGAGCAGCACCAGCTCCTTTCCAAAGGTGTCTCTGGACAAACCTGGGCCCCTCCAGCACTGGCGGTCAGTCACGGCTGCTGCCTGCACATCCCACCCACTGCCCTCGAGAGACATGACAGGGTGATTATTAATTAAAACGCACATGTATTCGCGCTGAGATGATCAATAATTTATGCCCATTTCTCCTAAGGTTCCTTCAGCAGTTTTGTGACAACAGAAAGGAAAAAACCTTCCCTCTTTTTTGCTTTTTTTTCATTTCCTTCATCACCTCCTACACGCTCAGTGCCCCGAATGCGGGAATTTAAAGCAAACAGTTTCCATGGAGACTCAGCCCCGCCGTCCTCCCTCCCCTCCCATCCTCCCTTCCCTCGGCATCACTGCATCTTCACGCTCTCGTGCTAAAAATATCGAAGACGGGATTTGATTTCCGCCGTAGCGATACAGTTTTATGAGAAAAATAGGAAATTTACAATACACCCCCCTCCCCCTCTCCCAGTGTGGAGGAAGGCGTGCTCTCCACCAGGAATGGGGAATGACTGTTATTAAAAAGAAAGGAGATAAACCAGGGAAGCTTATGTCGGTGCTGAGACCTGGATCCCTGGAGCAGCCTGATCCGCAGCAGGGAGCTGTCCACACAGCCATCCCTCCCCTTCTGATCACCAGGGCAGGGGCCGAGTGCCCTGTCCCTTCTCCTGGAGCATCCCGGGCACCTCGTCCTCGCTCCCAGAGCATCCCAGGTACCTTGCCCCTGCTCCCACCACATCCTGCCTGCCCCAGCTTTAGCAGCAGCTCTGTGCAGAAGGGCCCTGGTACCACCTGTCTGGGTGGGGAGGCCATGAGACACCGCACATGTCCCACCACCCCTGCCAGGAGCACATGGCCCCGACTGGCACAGGATGGCATGCCCAGTCCAGCCCGTGAGGCCCAGGCAACAGCAGGAGTCAATGGTGGCAGGGGTATCCCTGGACTCAAACCCACCGGCCAGAGGGGTGTCCCCCAGCCCCCCAGGGGCTCTGCCTACTCACTGCTTTCCCAGTGGGACACGTCTCCTTTGGGGTGGGTAGTGTAAGCAGGCCTCTGACAACATAGAATCATGGAATTGTTTAGGCTGGAAAAGCCCTCTAAGATCATTGAGTTCAACCATTCCCCCAGCACTGCCAAGGCCACCACTAAACCATGTCCCCAAGTGCTGCATCTCCTCATCTGTCACATGCCTCCAGGGATGGGGACTCCACCACTACCCTGGGCAGCCTGTGCCAGGGTTGAACAGCCCTTTCAGGGAAGTAATTTTTCCTAATATCCAATCTAAACCTCCCCTGGTACAACTTGATGCCATTTCCTCCTGTCCTGTCTCTTGTTCCCTGGGAGCAGAGCCTGACCCCCACCTGGCTCCACCCTCCTGTCAGGGAGTTGTAGAGAGCAAGGAGGTCCCCTATGAGCCTCCTTTTCTCCAAACTGAGCTCCCTCAGTCGCTTCTCATGAGATTTGTGCTCCAGACCCTTCCCCAGCTCTGTTGCTCTCTGGCACTGGGGGATGGGAAGGCTGTGAGGGGCTTTGGGACCATGGCGCCGGACGCCCCACTCTCTTTATTATCTGTAT